GCGCGGTTTCGCCGTCTGACATGTTCCGCACGTTACGCAGAACATGTCGACATCCTTACCTATTCTCGGCCACCAGTACCAACGTCTGATGTATTCGGACGTTTTCTGCGGCCCGAAGTGCCCCAGTGTGGTATGTGCGTGGTCGATCACTACCTCAGTGAGCGACCGACGTTTTAACGGCACCCTCGGTACACATAGAACCTCCACTCCTTGGCGGTTCTTTGTGTAGATCAGACCGTCGCGCACTGCGAAGGTCTTGAAGTGCTGGGGATTCTCCAGCACTTTACGAAACGTATGGTCGTTTCGGTACCCCGACTTCACTGTCTTGATGAAGTCGACATCTCGTTCCACCTTCGTCCGCAAGGGTGGTCCCGACGTCAAGGCCTCAGCCACCGTCGGGTCGCTGAGGTCGATAGCTTCGTTGCTAATGTCCTTGTTCTGCGCCGCAGCCATTGCTGCTGCCTCAGTCTCACGTTCGTGACGCTTCTCGTCCAACCTTTGAGCCGCCATCTGTCCCATTCTCAGTTCGAGAATGCGATTGGAAGGCAGGTCGTCTCGCATGGGGTCAAGCCGTTCGTCCGCATTCACCATGTGGTGAATGGGGACCACGTCGTCCGGCGTGTCGTTCTCGTAGTACCTCGACAAACAGTCGGCAACCTTGTTGTCGCTGCCTTTGATGTACGATATCGTACAATCAAAGCGGGAGATGTACTCATACCATCGAACCTGCCGGTTCGATGGATTGGCGACGCCGTTGAAGAACGTCAGGGCCTTATGGTCCGTGACGATGTTGACTTTTCGGCCAAGCAGCTTGTCCTCCCATTTGAGGAGGGCTTCCATAATTCCAAGTGCCTCCTGCTCGTACGTATGGTACGCGCGTTGTGCACTCGAGAACTTCTTGGATAGGAACCCTGCAGGTCGACACGTCTGCCACTCGGGTCCTTGACCATAGACGGCTCCGACTCCGAAGACGGAGGCGTCTGTGATGACCCAGATGGGCTCATCGACCTTCGGGTCGATGGGCTTGAGTATGGGTGCGCGACTGGCAAGTGCTTTGATGGCTTCAAAACACTTGTCGTGCAGCGCACGCCATACGAATGTTCGTTCATTGCGACACATCTCTGATAACGGAGATGTGTAACCACTTATCTCGGGCAAGAAGTGCGCGAGGTAATTGACCAGTCCAAGGAAGCGCTGTACTTCCTTGTACGATCGCGGGGCTCGCCATGTGCGAATCCTCTCCATCTTGTCACGGTCGGCGTGTAGTCCTCGGTCATCTATTAGATGACCCAGACAGTCCATGCGCCTCGAGTAGAGGTCGCATTTCGTTTGACTGAGGTAGAGCTTCGCCTTCCTCAGTCTCTCGAATACTATCCTTAGATGTTCTTCGTGTTCTTCGATTGTATCGGAGAACACGAATATGTCATCTAAGTATACGTGGACGAACCGGCCGATACAGTCCCGGAATATTGTAGTCATCAGCGACTGGAAAGTCGCTGGTGCATTGGCGTCACCTTGTTGCATCACCAGACTGATGAACGTGCCGTATGGGGTGGAGAACGCCGTCTTCCAGACATCCTCCGCCACGATACGGATCTGTTCGTACGCGTCGGACAGGTCAATCTTTGACCTGAACTTCGCCCGGGCCACATCCATACAGATCTGGTCTTGGTCAGGGAAAGGCGTCACGTCTTTCCGCGTGTTGTCGTTGCGTTTCCTCGCATCGATAACTGTACGTAGTTTGCCCGACTTCTTCGCTATGCAAAGAAGTGGGGCTGCTTGACCATTCGGGATCTGGGACGTCTGGATGGGTTGCCACCATCCTGCCGCCGTGTACCGTTCGATTTTGTCGAGCAGTTGCGGTTTCATGGCCTCCGGACACCTGGGCAGGTGGTACCGGAGGGACAGGTCAGGGTCGATGAGAGGTATGCGGTGGTTCACATCTCGAAACGGCGGTAATTCGAGAGGTGGGGAACACATGATGTCCTCGCACATTTTCATCCATTGTTCCCTGTTCGCGACGACCTGCGGGTCGTCGTCGAGTGTCTGCCGAACTTCCTCATCCTTGAGGAAGTTTAGTATGGCTCGGTCTACCTCATCGTTTGTACCCAATGGGTCCAATCGACCAAGTGAGTCCCGACGCGGTTGTTGTGCTGAATGTACCATAGGTACATTGGCCTCCGCAATGTCCGGCATTGCGGTGTCGTGTCGGTTACCTGTTCGCACCGGTACCTTCCGACGGTTCACCACCTCTGGTTTCAGACGTGGTGGATCGGGTACTTCACGAACTTCCAGTCCATTTTTTGTAATGTTAGGTACCACGTCCATACTAGGGCGTGGTACTTTCATTTTTTTCACTGTTTTCTCTGGTACCACCTCCAACTTTGGACGTGGTATCGATTCTTTCGTTGCTATTTCCACCAAGGAATCGACGGCGACGTCGATCCCTTCCCCCTTGAGACCATAGGCCCTTCCTCAGCGAAGCGAGACTGGGGGGGTTGCACCGCGGTGGATCTCGCCGCGCAACCCTATTGCTTCGATGATGACGCGAGGCGGAGCTGTGCCGTCAGTCGCGCACTCCGTGTATCCCGCCGATGCTCCAGAACTTCCGCTTCCTGGGCCACCGTGTAGGCCGGTACTGCCACCCCATCGACCCAGATCTGGTGGGTGCGGAAGTCGAGGACCACGTTGTGCTTGATGCAGAACGTGGTTCCCAGAACGACGTCGTACCTGTCGATGTCAACTACGTCCATGTAGTTGACACCGTTCACGGGGCCGACCTGGATACGGGGGCGTGCTCCATAGTTGATGGTGGTGCGACTACCCTTCGTACCTAGCTGTAGATTGAGGGGCTCCCTCAGATCTACCCTGTTGGCCTTGGCCAGGAACGCCAGTTCCGGGGACATGGCATCGGTCGTACACCCTGTGTCGAACAGCGTGTACGCCTTCACGCCATTGACGTCGATCTCCGCGCAGAGCGTCCGAGTCGCTTCGGGACTGCGTTCTGGCTGGTCCGCCGGCTCGGAGGTCCTTCGGATCTTCGAGTCGTACAGCCAGGCCGCCTTCATGGTACGGGCTGGCGGTAGCGTTTGTATCGCGCTCATTCGGGTAATGTCCGTCATGGCGGCATTATACGATGGGTGTGCCAGGTTTTCCTGGCTCACCCGAGTCGACGATCGGCGTTCCACGCGCATTGCTCGGAATGTCATGAGCCCGAGCTGCGCTACAGCTCCATCCTCATCGTCATACTCGTCCACAGGAGACTCGTCTCCTGGGTCGTCGTATGCGTATTGCGACCCGCCATACTCAGATTGAGGATGGTCGGTCACATTCCCGTTGTCGTAGTCGGGCACGTCCACCGTCTGGTCGACGTGCTCGTTAGACTCGGGCTGGACATGGACGAATCCATCGTCCTGGTCCTCCCCACTGTCCTCCGCAATCCGTGCCGCATACATGCGACCCGTCTTGCTGGGTGGCATTCTGCCACCGTTCTTACACTTCTCCTTTTCTCGAGAAGTGTGTCACATTACTGAGTGGAACTTGACCGTTTCAAACGGTCCACCCAGAGTGCATTTGGCCCGTTTCTAACGGTGTACCCGGGCTCGGCCGGAGCACTCCGGGTCTACCGTTTGGAGCGGCCGCCGCCAGCAACGAACCGGCCGGAGGGAGGGTGGTGGTTTGGAATAGTCCGGCCGGAGCTCTGGTGAACGTACCGGCCGGAGGCCTTGAGAAATATGGGTTTCCTACGGTCCGGCCGGACTGTTATCCAACGTCCCGGCCGGAGCTCTGGTCAACGGTCCGGCCGGAGGCCTCAAAAGATTTAGGCTTCCTACGGTCCGGCTGGACACATACCCAACGTTTCGGCCGGACCTTTGATCAGTGTCCCAGCCGGAGGCCTCGAAAATTTGGGCTCTCAACGGTCCAGCCGGAGCACTCAGCAATGGTCTGGCCGGAGCACTCAGCAATGGTCCGGCCGGCGCACTCAGCAATGATCCGGCTGGAGGCCTCCAAAGATTTGGATTCTCAATGTTCCGGCCGGGACCGGGGGTTGGTTTCTAACCTTCCGGCCAGACCCCAGATGAAACAGTCCGGCCGGGCAAAATTCCACCTTCCAAACATCCGGCCGGAAGCCTTGCGGAATCTGGGCTGTAAACAATCCGGCCGGTGTGTAGCTCGGGAGTGTCGTGCTCCCGGGCGCGATATTCGAGGGGCGGGCTAGTCTGTTGCTTCCGGAGTGGGGGAATGTGGGTCGAAAGGGGTGCATGATGGTCAAGGGGAGCTGTGCCAATGACGTGGCCTCGTACGACACCTCAGGGTCGCAGACCTCGTTCTTGGTTCTCCAAGCCTCGCTGTTGACCCCGTTCCTGACTTGCTCCGTGGTCTCTGTCCTACCTCGCTCTCGTCCTCGTTCCAAATGTGCCTCACTCTCGCTCTGCAGTCGCTACACTTGCTAAACCCGTTCCGCAGTGATCTTGTTCTCGTTCCGTAGTCGCCCTCCTCGTTCCGCGGGTTCCTGTGCTCGTTCCGCGAGCTCCTAAGCTAGTACTGCCGATCCTTGTACTCGTTCCGCGAGTTCCTATGCTCGTTCAACGAGCTCCTATGCTCGTTCCGCTAGCTCCTATGCTCGTTCCGCGACCACCTATGCTCGTTCCGCAAGCCCTTATGCTCGTTCCGCAAGCCCCCTATGCTCGTTCCGCGAGCTCCTATGCTCGTTCCGCGAGTCCTTGTACTTGATTACGTCGCACCGTGTCCGTCCGAAAGATTCTCGACAGCCCGAGTGGTCAACACTGACTGACCCAGGGAGCCTCTCCCAGCTCCAGCGAGTGTATGGGGAAATGTGCGAGCTATGCTTGCAGGTCTCTAGATTCGAGGTGGGGAGAGCTAAGGTATGTACAAGTCTTCGTGGCACTGTATGCCGCCGAAGCTGACTAATAGTAGGTACTTGCTATATATGGTAAGTAATGCGAAATCGCACAAAGTCCATCAAGTACAATAGAAATGGGTATCGGAAGGAATAGCGAAGGTTGTCAATATGCTCGGAGGGAATGGCAATGACCAGGTAGCTCAAAATAAGGGATATACGTACTGTCCGGGCCTATGTGGGGGGCACTCCCCACATCTCCCCCTTACTCGAATTGTGACCGTCCCCGGTCACCTACTCCCTGCGACAACACTCCCTAACCGAGAGCGATCCACTGCGACATAAATGACGCGAGTCCGTCCACTCGATCATCTTCTACGCCACGTCCTCGAGTCGCGCTGAAACCGCGTGTGCAATCTTCACCTCTGTCGAGCCAGCCGCAGTCCCGATTCGCCTCGGCAGTCGCCCCCTCTGCTTCCGCACATGGCAGGTATTCGACAATCCAACGTCCGTTCTTGTCTAGGTGACCGCGGCTGATCAGCTCATCGTCGCCCGCCTCCTCCGGGATGTCGCATTCGGCCAACTCCATTAGTAGACACCCTCCACGTCGAGGCTCGTTTGCGCCGTTGATCACGCTATGCTGCCAACCACCTGATTTGGCACCTTCTCTCCGCAGCTCACCCATACTCGGAGTGCCGCTCCGATATTGCTCTCGTTCCGGTGAACATTGCATAGTGTGATCTCGGGTCGCACCTAACCAGCGCATGAACCCGCCGCGTACCCGCTGGTCTGCCTCCGCGACTGCCTTCCTCGCCTTATGCCGTGGAAGAAATTCGATGCGCCACTGCCCGCGCTCGTCGAGGTAGCAGCACCTGATAAGCTCGTCATCGCCTGTGTCTTCTGCAATGTTGAGCTCTGCCGACTCCAGCAGTAAGCACTCGCCAAATCCAGATTCTTCCGCGTCGATTGCGAGGTTGAGCTGACAACTAGGTCCAGCTTCTCTCCGCGGCTCCCCCGTACTCGGATCCACGCTCTGTGGTTGCCCTCGTCCCGCTGGGCTTTGCATAGCATGACCTCGAGTTGCACCGAACCCGGGCCTGCGCATGAACCCATTGCGCAGCCGCTGGTCTGCCTCCGCAACCGCCTTCTTCGCCTCATCGCACGGAAGGGACTCAATGACCCACTGCCCATGCTCGTCGAGGTGGCAACAGCTGACTCGTTCCTCATGTTCCTCTTCCAGCGTCCTGAGCTCAGAGATCCCAACGAAAAGACACTCGTCGAGTACTTTACTCGACTCTCCGCTCCGCGCCTGCTCCCGGTCCACTGCGGTACGCCTGCTCGGGTTTCTTGGGACGCCGGTCCGTTCAGTGTCGCCCTCCCTCGAATACTCGCCTACGTCCTGCGCGCGATCTTCAACTACACAAAACGAATCTCCCTCCGCATCTGTTCTCTCCGCCTCGGCGCGCGGCAGGTCCTCGACAATCCGGCCCATGTAGCAACAGCCGAGTAACTCGCCATCGCGTGCTTCCTCCGGTACTTTGAGCTCACTAGCCTTCCCGCGCAAGCGCTCCGATGCGTCCGTTAGATCGTCAAGACACCATGCCCTAGTAGTATTCATGGATTCGTCTCCCGTGCACCCTCGGAGTGCGCTGCACGCCTGACTACCTGTGCTGCAATGTCCACCAGCAGCTCGCGGCGGTCGTTCATTATCCCTGCGAGGATCTCTCTCACTCGGCTCCGAGCTCCACGATCGCTCTCGATCTGCTGAGCTCTGCGGCCCAATGCTTCCTGGGTCGGCGGTCCACCCAGTCTCACTCCGTGTTGAGTGCTCGTCCCTCCGGTTGTTAGAGATCACCACGTCGCGCCTTAGTCGACCGCGCTCGATCGCAACGTACTGAGCTAGCCATTCATCCCGTTTGGCTTCCTCGTTGATCACATGTGAGTCATCTTCCATCGTCCATCCGTCCGTCTGATTGACCGTGCGCAAAGCCATTTCAGCCTGAGGCTGTGGAACGTGCCCCCACAGTCGACGCCCATCCTCCGCAATGTGCCAGCACGCGATCAGGACGTCCTCGGGTGTCTCCTCAGGTATGTCCGCGTCAAGTTCGCCAAAGTCCCCCAGGAGCCAGACCTCCTCAGGTACGTCTTGACTCGCAGACTCGGGCTCGTAGCTGTTCATCCTGACTCCTGGATCATCAGCGCCACATTCGGCTTGCGGTCCCGGCCATGGTTCCTCCGGCGAGTCACTGGTCTTGCTGACTTCCGTGCAGTCCGTGCCTTCACGTGTGTGGCTCGGTTGGTCGGTCGTCGCGTCCCTCTTTTCCTTGTCCGTAGGTATTGCTCGTTCGCCGCATCCTTGCAACGCGTCCCACTGATCAGGTCCCTCGTCGCGATCCCTGTTCCGCTGTGTCTTAGGCTGCTGGACGTCCTCAGGCTTGTCACGGTCCCCCTTACTCGGCTCGAAGCTCCAGGCACGGTCCGTCTTGCTGCGCCCAGATGCTGCAGCTCGCCCTCTCATATGTTGTTGCCCTGGTGAGTCGGATGGATCCTCGTCCGTTTGCAAGGGTTGGCTGATCACCGTGAACCCCACCTGCAGTACCTCGCCGGATTCGCCGTCCTGCACGTACCCACTCGTCCATCGTGTTCAGAGCGCGTGTTCTCCAGTTGCGTGGGCGACAATCCTGCTGCTGCGACTGTCTGTGTCATCGCTCTCCAGGTCCCCCTACGACCAGCATGTTCATCGGCTCGCTCCCCCATACTCGGCTCGACACTCGCACGCCGGTTCGCCTTGTTCCCTGTGCGCCCGCGCCTACCCGTACCGTATCCTTGCCCCGGTATGTCTGCTGAGTCCGCGAAGCAACCATTCTGCTGGCTGATCTCGGTGATCTCGACTTGCCAAGCGGCTTCGCCACCACCTTCCTCAATGTACGTGCCCGTTTCCTCACGTCTAGTGCGCCCGTATCCCCTCCCCATCCCCGACGATGTTCCGGCTGAAGCTTCAAGCACTTGCCGCTTCGTACCATACCGGATCTTGCCCGCGCCTCTATCCTCCATCTCCCTCGTACTCGACTTCCAGCCCTGGCCCTGACTCGTCTCCCCACCCGCATGTACGTATCCACCTCTCGCGCGTCGTTGCCACGGTACGTCATTCGTATCCGCCAGGAATTCGGTCGATGCACTGATCTCGAGCAGGTTCACCAGCAAGACCGCCTCGTGATCTCCATTCTGCGCGCGCACGCCCGCACTCTTACACTTGGTACGTCCATTCTCTCCTGGCGTGGATATCGATGTCCTTACTTGACCCTGTGATCTCGCCGCCTCCCGCAGGCTCGCGCCCTGGTCCGTCTCGCCATGCGCGCGCGCTAGTCCGTCTGCCGCAGGGCATTCCGGGGGTATGTCTGCTGAACCCACGAGAGGCCCGGTTGGTTGGCTGACCTCGGCCCTGTTCACCTGCGACACCGGTTCGTGATCGTCGTCCAGCGCGTACTTGCCCGTTTCCTCTCGCTCGGCCTGTCCATCCCTGGTTTGTCCACACGACGACATTCCCGGTTCGGCTTCCAGCCGCAGGGCACGCCTCGTGTTGCTCTCGCCACTCCTCTCGTCAGTCACCTCCCCCTTACTCGGCTCCAAGCTCTCGCCCTGGTTCGTCTCGCCGCGTGCATGTACGTCTCTGTCTCCCATGCATCTTGGCCATGGTACGTCTACGAGAGCGCTGGTCGGCTTACTGACCTCGAGCATGCCAGTCTTCACCTGCAACGGTTTGACCTCGTGGTCGCCGTCCCGCATGCATTCGCGCGTCCCCTCGTGCTCGGTCTGCGTGTACTCGTCACGAGTCGCCTCCGTATCTTCGGGCCCTGTTCCTTCGGTCCGTCCTTGTTCTGGGCTTGCTACTCGGTTCCCGTCTTGACATACGCGACCTTCCTGCTCGGATTCGGCTTGCTCGCCACCTGGTTCCCGACCTCCTACCTCCCTGTATCCACCCCTAGCCTCTGAAACCCCCTCATCAGGTGCCCCTTGCGGCCCGGATCCGCTCCGCTTGCGACTAGGCTCGTTCGCCGGACTTCCATCTCTCGCCGTCGTGTCCTCGCTTGTGTGCCTGTTCGACTGGGTCCCGACGCACGCGTCCATCGCATTCTGAGACCCATGCCTCTCCTGCTCACTGGCTTGCGTTTCGACTAGCGGCCCCTTCCCAGTCCTCACAGGCTCCTCATTTCGCAAGAGTGTCTCGAATCGCCCTTGAGGTCCCGTGAAGTTTCCCGCCATGCTACACTTAGACCCGGTACGCCGCGTCCGCAAGCTTCCTTCCGCCTCAGCGCGGGTCTCTACTGCTATGCTCGTCTTGCGGCCAATCTTGTTCCGCATGCGCGCTGCTCGATCGGTCCGCTGTACCTCGGTTGCCCTGGATCGCTCTTCATCGTCTGCTGGGCTGTTGGCATTCGTCTTCGGTAGATTCTGACCCTCGCCAGCCTCCCTCCGCCCGCGCTCTAGTCTCGAGCCTTCATTCCGTTTGATTCGCCGCTGAGTCGTCTCCCTTCGGTCCTCATTGCCCCGCGACTGTACGCGTCCCTGCGTGCCTCCACATCCTCCGATCGCTGGAATACTGCCCGTCGCTTCCGGCAGCGCACCTCGCCAGATGGTATCACATGCGAACCGGCTCGATAGGTCGGGAGCCCCTTTTGACCTCAAGAAACGACGGACGGCGCATACCCACTCTGCGACTCGGGAGACTAGTGGTCCTGTACTAGTGAACTGCGCAGGCCTTGGTCCATGCACTTGAACGGTCGTCACCCTGGGTCCTCTCTTCCCTAGCTCTGCCTCCTCCGACTGGCTATCGTCGATGTCGCAGACCTCGGCACGCTCCCTGTCGGCAGCCATGTACCTCGCGTCCTGCAGCTCGTATATGCGCATCGAACTGTTCACCGTAAGGATTCTGCTCGCGAGTCCGTTCTCATCCCTCGCTCTGGCCAATTGCCCGCGTCTACGCGGCTCGTCTGTGTGCTGCCAGCGGACGTCCCGGCAACCGACTGCTCCGAAAACCCTCTCACGGCCTCCATGCACGCTCCGACCTGTCCTTGTCTCCTCCGGCCCGCGTCGAAGTCGGTGTTCACTATGCCCCCTCCGGGTCTGCCTGCAAACGACCTCCTAACACCGTCCTGCGCGACTGCCGCACTCTCCGTCGCGCCCGCGAAGGTTCCCTGGGCTCTCGCTCGACCCTCCTTGCTGGTACTACCGTGCGCGCTCCCTCCGCAGTCGACATGTTCCTCCTCCGTGGAAGTGTCTCCGCGCCGTCGTGTTCCCTCCGTAGTCTGCTCCCGCAGCTCCACGTCGTCGCCTCGAGCTACGATCTCTCGTCTCTCAGTCTTCAGTGGGTCCTCGAACTCGCCTCGCTCCTTCCGACAGGGGACATCCTTGAATCCCGCCGTTGTCGCGCTCGCACTTGCTCGGCCCTCACTCCTGTCCCCCGCGCTTCGATCTCCTTCGTTCCTTCCATGCTGGGTGCTTCGCTCGCCTAGCCGTACGTCCGCCCAGTCCGCGTCCGCCCGCTCTCGATCCTGAGCCTCGCCCGCAGTTCCTTCCGCGACGTGGTTACAGGCAATCGCTTTGAGTCCCGCACCTCGTCGCGTAAATGCTCCCATTAACCTGTGTCCGGACGTCCGCGTTCCTTCCGCTCGCTCCTCCCGTACCTCCGGTTGGCCGACTGGACCTGCAGTCCATTGTCTCGATCCGTCCAGAGACTCGTCTCGCTCTCGCTGTTCCCTCCGGCGCACCTCCTTCCCTGAGCTCGCCCGTGCCGTACCCGCCATTGCTCGGCTGTCCGTGCTCTCGCTCCCGTGCTCGCGTCCCGTCTGACTAGACAGAACATGCTGGCTCGCCGTGACTTCCGAGCGGGCGTGGCTTAACTCTCCCGTGGGCGTGATGGTTCGACTCGTCCGTCTGTTGTAGGTAGCCTCGCCATAGATGCTCTTCACTTCGACCGACCGCGTGACTCGAGCTTGACTTCCTGTACCCGCGTCCTCGATACGTCCCATCATGTCCAGCTGTACCTCTGAGCGCCGGTTGCCCTCGCTCCTCCGCTGATCCTGGTCACTCACAGCAGGCCTTAGCTCTGCATCATATTGACTTTCTCCCACTTCCGATCCTTGTAGTCGCCAGCTGCCCTTGCCCTCCTCCTTAGATCGCGTCGGAAGGGACGTTGTTCCCCCTGAAGCCTCGCGTACGTGAACCGTCTCCTTCCGCGCGAATACAATGGCCCCGTCTCGCGAGAACAACGGTCCCGCAAGCCAGCGACTGGTCGTGAGGGCGTTGTCGGGGTTTCCAGCTTCTGTCGAGGCTCGTCTGAACGTTGACGTTCCTTCCGCGTCCTGCTGCCTTGCCTCCGAGCTACCCTTCTGCCATGCAATGCTCCGTCTCACCGTCTTCCTAAACCCGTCCTGTTCTCTCCGTAACGCGCCGTACTTGAAGCTCGTCCATTCCGTGTCCGTCGCTAGACTCTCGGTGCTATCCCCCACATTTCCGCATGCTGTTCGTTCCGACGCAACGCACTGGTGTGAGTCCCGATCCCAGCTCGCCTGCCTCGTCGATTCCTGCGTTGGAACAGTTCCGTGAGTGAGCGTTCCCTTCGACGACGAGTTTGCGATCGCCGAGTCCGTCGGCGGACACATGAGTAGATGCATATCAATCCGCCGACCTGCTATGTCGCGTTCGTTCAGTCGCGAGTCTTCTGGTAACTCACTTGAGCCGAGAATCGCCCGTCTCTTTCCCCTCTCAGGTTGTCCTCGCTCATCTGCGCAAGGGTCCGCGAGCTCGTTCCCACTCTTCGCACCGCCGGTTCGCTGGCTACGAGCGTTCGCCTGTCGTCGATCTCGGTCTACTGGCTCTTGAACCTCATGCGCCGCTCCTTCCGAATCCAATCTTGCAATAAGGTGATCGTCGACAGCTGCAGGGAATCTCGCGCCTGTCCAGAGAGGTCCATACGCAAAAAGATGACTAGTATTGAGGAAACACAAGGGTCGGGAAAATGAACGCGCCAACTTGGCGACTTGGGCGACCAGCGAGGCGCCAGTAGGCTGTGCACACCGTGGTTCGGGCGCTTGTGCGATCGTCTCTCGCCTGAGTCCTTTCTCCACCAACTCTGCCTGCGACTGCGTGTGGTCCTCGCTCCCGATCTCGTTGTACTTTCCCTCGTCCATCACGATGATGCCCCCTTGTTGGACCCTCGCCAGGTTCGCGCACTCCCTGCTGCAGTCGCGTCCACCATCGCTCCGCTGTGTTCTCAAACGAGGCGCGTCTTCAACTCCGAGCTCAAATGCGCTCGTCGCGTGCTCCTGCACATGCAAGTCAGTTCTCGCGGAGGGAGATCGATGTCCACGGTACGCGTAATAGGTGGAGGAGGACCCATAGGTGAGCCTAGTCTCTGTCCCTCGAATCACGACCCGTATGAACGCCTGCGCCTGTCGCTCCTGCTGCTTGCGCGTATCAAGCACTTCCGCCGTCGCGCCATCCCGCCCTTGGGTATCTTGCCGGATGTCTGACGCGTGCCTTCCCTCCGTCTGCATGCATAGTGCGCCTCGTGGAGTTGATATGAGGCCTTCGACTCGCGAGGAGGGTGGACAGCTTGTCATGGGACTTCTGCCGGTACGTCTGTCCTTTAACGCTGTTGTCGCGACCCGCCTAGTCCCCCGTGACATCTGTTCAGCTTGCTGGTACAGCCGCAGCCATTCGTTTCCGGTTTTGAAGACTCGTCTTGCCGCCGCCAGGAACTCGCCGACCTCCTTCTGTTCCTTACTGCACGCGCTAATGGCTGCACTTGAAGCCTCACCACCCGCCATCCTCTTGTCGTCACGGCCTAGCTCGCCGTCGAAATCCCGGCCTTGCGCGATGCCCGTCGTCGCTAGGTTCTTGCATGCAAACCCCGCCCGCCGTGAGTCTCTCGCCCGTGGTCCTGGCTCGTCTCGCTCGCTCGACACCCCGCCTGTGCCGCGTCCAGGAGCCCCCATTCTCTCGTCGTCCTCTCGTTCGATGTCGCTTACACTCGAGTACTCATAGGTCCGCACTTGGTCGACTAGGTACGGCACATCCGTTGCTCCTCGATCTCCTCGCGTCGGAGCCAGCACCTCGCTGAACGGGCTTCTGTGTCGGCGACCGACCACTGCAAGACACGCGTCGCTCCCAGTGATTCCACCGGTGAGTCTAACCTCCGTAATCACTTCTCGCGCCCGTCCTGATCCTCGTGTCTCAGTTCCCGTTCGCTCCTCCGGCCGCGGGTAATCGTCTTCGACCGTGAAGCCTCGTCTCGGCGCCGCCAGCAGATTCCCGACCTCTTCCTCTATCTCCGCGCCGTGGTTGTGCGCTTTGTACTCACGGTGGTCGATCGTGTACGTCTCAGTCGCGGTCTGCACCTTGGCCAATGGCGTCTCCTCCCCGCCTCCCGTCCTTGCCCCTCTCGCTCTCGCATATCCTTGTATTCGATGCTAATGTTGCTAGTTGCCTCTAATCTTTGAATCCCTTGCTCGCGTGCTCGGTTACTCGCTGGACTCCAGGACCTGCCGGTTGAACGTTCGCTCCGGCTCTCGTATCCTGACCTCTCTAGCATCCTGAAGTTGACCTTCGCGCGACAGGCTCCGAGCCCTAAAGTCGCTCGTGTATCTTCCGTTACGACGCGCTCGCATAAGCTGAATTGATGCAGTGATGCTCGCCTAGCTGAACGCTCGTCCCGCCCTCTGTTCGCCGCTGCAACTCCTTCCGACCTGTTGTGCGGGTGCGTCGTCTGCTCCGAGTTCGTGGGACTAACACTGGTGTCCGACGATATTGCGTCGCTGGTCCGCGTGGCCTTGATCCTAGCAAGTCTATCTCCCGCAGGTTCGTCGACTCGCTCGAACGTTCTTGCTCTGAGCCGCGATATTTCGAGGAAGAGATCGTCGAGTGGACATGGACTGCTGCCCGACGCTTCCGTAGGTACCTGTGTCATAGAGCTTGCATTACCCGTGTACACCTCCCAGCTACTTCTTCTATTCATCGCGTGTTGCCTCCCCGAACCGGCAGCTACACCTCCACGCATGCCTCCGGATTGCTCGTGAATGCTTGAATCGTCGGTGCTCGCGTTCGTCCCGGGTCTCATCGTCACGGTGATGCTCTCGCTCAGGGTAGCTCCTTCGTGTGTCCTCGCCGTACTTGCTACTCCATTCCAGAACTCGCGAAGCGTGAGTGAGCAGCCTCGGTGAACCTGCGAGCGTACGGTGACGTGGGCGTCCGAGTCGGCCGTCCCACCGCGAGAGGCGTCCTCGACTAAGACAATGCGCGCGTGCCAGGCGACTCGCTCCTGAATCATCGTCTCGAGTCCCTGTCTTTCCGCAGCGACGCTCGTCTGCGCACCGTGTTGACCCCCGGGATCACCAGTGGGGTTCTGCGATTCCGTGGATTCAGTCACCATGCCGCCTGCGTGTGCGGTAGCTGGCTCGTAGGTCGCGGTCGCGGGTCCCGGTCCCGTAGCCCGCTCGTAAGTCCAGGGTGCACATGTTGAGGCTGTGAAGAGCTCATCGAGTGCGTACGTGCTGTCGCCTCTGAGACGACTAGTCGCCGACTCTGTGACTGACTCGAACCGTACCGTTGCGGTCGACCTCGCGACTACGTCCGCATCGCGCGTTGGTGTCGGTTCCACATGCGCTGTAATGGTAGACTGGCAATGAAGGGAATATTCCTCGGCTCGCATGTACACGATCCCAGTGGTGACTTCGGTAGTGGATGGGAAATGAATGGGGTGGATTGTGTGTGCTTGCCTGTGCTCTGAGCGCGATGACGCGAGGCTGTAGGCGGAGCGGAAGAAGCACGAATAGGGAACCACCCCTCGCGGTGGGCTCCAGTTGTGCAGCTCGGGAGTGTCGTGCTCCCGGGCGCGATATTCGAGGGGCGGGCTAGTCTGTTGCTTCCGGAGTGGGGGGAATGTGGGTCGAAAGGGGTGCATGATGGTCAAGGGGAGCTGTGCCAATGACGTGGCCTCGTACGACACCTCAGGGTCGCAGACCTCGTTCTTGGTTCTCCAAGCCTCGCTGTTGACCCCGTTCCTGACTTGCTCCGTGGTCTCTGTCCTACCTCGCTCTCGTCCTCGTTCCAAATGTGCCTCACTCTCGCTCTGCAGTCGCTACACTTGCTAAACCCGTTCCGCAGTGATCTTGTTCTCGTTCCGTAGTCGCCCTCCTCGTTCCGCGGGTTCCTGTGCTCGTTCCGCGAGCTCCTAAGCTAGTACTGCCGATCCTTGTACTCGTTCCGCGAGTTCCTATGCTCGTTCAACGAGCTCCTATGCTCGTTCCGCTAGCTCCTATGCTCGTTCCGCGACCACCTATGCTCGTTCCGCAAGCCCTTATGCTCGTTCCGCAAGCCCCCTATGCTCGTTCCGCGAGCTCCTATGCTCGTTCCGCGAGTCCTTGTACTTGATTACGTCGCACCGTGTCCGTCCGAAAGATTCTCGACAGCCCGAGTTGGTCAACACTGACTGACCCAGGGAGCCTCTCCCAGCTCCAGCGAGTGTATGGGGAAATGTGCGAGCTATGCTTGCAGGTCTCTAGATTCGAGGTGGGGAGAGCTAAGGTATGTACAAGTCTTCGTGGCACTGTATGCCGCCGAAGCTGACTAATAGTAGGTACTTGCTATATATGGTAAGTAATGCGAAATCGCACAAAGTCCATCAAGTACAATAGAAATGGGGTATCGGAAGGAATAGCGAAGGTTGTCAATATGCTCGGAGGGAATGGCAATGACCAGGTAGCTCAAAATAAGGGATATACGTACTGTCCGGGCCTATGTGGGGGGGCACTCCCCACACCGGGCTAGTTTGTAATCATCCAGCCAGCCGGACCCCAGATGAACAGACCGGCCGGGCTTCTCCAAAACCAGCCAGACCCCTCAGAATTGATCTGCCGGTGATATAACAACAAGAATTGTTAACCCCCAAGCTCAGCTGGAAAATGACCAAGGTTGTATCAACCAAGCTCAATATTTAACCACCCACCGAGCTCAGAGTTGAACCACCGAGCCCAGAGATGAGCCACCAAGCTCGGTATCAAACCACCGAGCTCAGTAGTGAGCCACTGAGCACAGTATTGAACCACCGAGGTTAAACAGCTAGGCTCGGTGGCCGAGAAAAATTGGCCGGGCTCGGCGCCGAGGATAAATGGCCGAGGCTCGGGCCGAGGTTTGAGCGCCGAGCTCGGTGAAAACCGCCGAGGTCAGTATCAAAGCATTGAGCTCAGTTAAGGGGCCCAGTTAAAGGGCCGAGCTGAGTGTTCAATGACCGAGTTTGTTGTTGAAGCACTGAGCTCGGAAATGGCCGAGGTTAAACCACCGAGCTCGGTGAAAAACGGCCGGGCCGTCAGATTGCCATATAAGGAAATTTGGTATCATCTGGTAGCCCTTCATTCACAGAGTACAGTATATGTTCCCTAGTGTACAGAGATGCCTAGTTAGGTCAGAGAATACAAAATAAAAATGCTCACAGGCTTCTCTGAGAACATACTATTCAACTCCTGAGGCCAGTTTTCTTTTCCCACAATGTTTGACTATCTAGAATGTGCTATTTCAATGCACAGACTACATCCCCAACAGGAATAGTCTTATTCTTTGAAGCTGAATGCAGGACAGGAGATAAGGGGCATACATGTTGGATAATGATGTTCACTCCCTGCAGCCAACATTCTTTCCAAATAGTGTTTGACTATCTAGAATGATTCATTTCCTCACAATGAGTGAGTCCTCCAAAGGAATAGTCTTATTCACACAAGCTGAATGCAGTACAGAGTTAAGGGAATCTGGTCTCATATGAGTATCACTCAATTTGAACAATGCTGATCATCACTTCTGTATCCATGCATGATATAGCTGAAGAGTCTATACATTGGACAGATGTGTCGCATTTTGCTCTGGCTGGCCTAGGACAGTGCACCGGCCGGACCGTTTGCTACGAGCAATGGCCGGCCGGACCATTGGCAATGAGCATTGTCCGGCCGGACCATTACCAATGGAGAAATGTTTATGTGGCCAGTGCAATGCGCATGGGTGCACATCACAGTTTGATACAGACAATCATTCAAAGCAGGCCCCATCATGACACAATAATGCATGTTCCCCTTAGCTCCATGCTCAGTTCAGCTAGGAAGAATAAGACTATTCCTCTTGAGGACTTTGCTGTTCATGTTGGATTAAGCCATTCTAGTTTGTCAAACATTGTGGGCAAAGCATATTGGCTTTACAAAGTAAACATAGTTCACATGTATCCCACTCCACCCTTGACACCTTAACTCTGTACTGCATTCAGCTTGTGTGAATAAGACTGTTCCTTTGGAGCACTTACTCCATGTGAGTAAATGAACCACTCTAGATGGTGAAACCCTATTTGGAAAGAATATTGGCTGCAGGAACCAACATTCAAGTCAGACATGCATATCCCATACCTATATGCCCTTATCTCTTGTCCTGCATTCAGCTTCAAAGAATAAGACTATTCCTGTTGGGGATGTAGTCTGTGCATTGAAATAGCACATTCTAGATAGTCAAACATTGTGGGAAAAGAAAACTGGCCTCAGGAGTTGAATAGTACGTTCTCAGAGAAGCCTGTGAGCATTTTTTATTTTGTATTCTCTGACCTAACTAGGCATCTCTGTACACTAGGAACATATACTGTACTCTGTGAATGAAGGGCTACCAGATGATACCAAATTTCCTTATATGGCAATCTGACGGCCCGGCCGTTTTTCACCGAGCTCGGTGGTTTAACCTCGGCCATTTCCGAGCTCAGTGCTTCAACAACAAACTCGGTCATTGAACACTCAGCTCGGCCCTTTAACTGGGCCCCTTAACACTGAGCTCAATGCTTTGATACTGACCTCGGCGGTTTTCACCGAGCTCGGCGCTCAAAACCTCGGCCCGAGCCTCGGCCATTTATCCTCGGCGCCGAGCCCGGCCAATTTTTCTCGGCCACCGAGCCTAGCTGTTTAACCTCGGTGGTTCAATACTGTGCTCAGTGGCTCACTATTGAGCTCGGTGGTTTGATACCGAGCTTGGTGGTTAAATATTGAGCTTGGTTGTTACAACTAACAATTCTTGTTGTTATATTACTAGTGTATCAGGGGTCTGGCTGGGAGAAGCCTGGCCGGTCGGTTCATCTGGGGTCTGGCTGGATGGTTAGAAACTAGCCCGGCCGGACCATTTACAGCCCAGATTTTGCAAGGCTTCCGGCCGGCCTGTTCACATTGGAAGTTGGGATTTTGCCCGGCCGGACCGTTTCACCTGGGGGCCGGCCAGACGTCCGAAACCAACCCCTGGCCAGGCTGAATCATTGCTGAGTGCTCCGGCCGGCCCGTTAGTGATGAGCCCGGCCGGACCATTGAGAGCCCAAATTTTTGAGGCCTCCGGCTGGGACACTGATCAAAGGTCTGGCCGGAACATTGGGTATATGTCCGGCCGGACCGTAGGAAACGTAAATTTTTCGAGGCCTCCGGCCGGACCGTTGACCAGAGCTCCGGCCGGGACGTTGGATAACAGTCCGGCCGGACCGTAGGAAACCCATATTTCTCAAGGCCTCCGGCCGGTACGTTCACCAGAGCTCCGGCCGGAACGTTACCCAACACTCCGGCCGGACCATTCCAAACCACCACCCTTCCTCCGGCCGGTTCGTTGCTGGCAGCGGCCGCTCCAAAAGGTAGACCCGGAGTGCTCCGGCCGAGCCCGGGTCCACCGTTCGAAACGGGCCAAATGCACTCCGGGTGGACCGTTCGAAACGTGATTTCCCACTCATTAGGCTCAGTGTGTCCGGGCTCGCCGCAACTCCAGCACACTATGGTGCTACCACTCGCGCCAGTGGTCGTTTTCCCTGCTGGCGCTGGTGTGGATTTCGGCGGACCCTTGTCGCTGACCACCACCGCTTTGGACACCGGTGGTGCTGGCTTCGACGCCACCACGGCCCCCACACTTGGTCGGGTCATGAATCGAGCGAACGGACCAGTCGTCCTGGCTCGACCGGCCAGGACTGCTGGGGCAACGGGCTTCGATGTACCACCACCATCTCTGGTGGTGGTGGTTGACGGGGTCGTCTTAGAGGCCGCCGCCGACAACATCGCAAACTCGTAGTCGCTTGCTGCCTTCACCATCTTACCGAACGACGATCGTTCGGGCGAGATGTAGGAGACCTTTCGTAAGGTCTCCTCCATGTCTGAAGGTAGTGCCGCTAGGAATCGTCGCTTCCATTCATAGTCCCCAGGACGCTCCGTCATGCGGTCGGCGTACTGGGACATCCTGTCGAGTAATTCGGTGACCCCACCACTCTTGTGGTAGGTCACCTTATTCCACGATTCGGCGGCCTTAATTTCACCATCTTGGTGAATGAATCGCCGGTGCAGTGCGGCGATTGCTTCCGCGAACCGCCAATGTCGCCTCGTCCGTCGAGGAGACTGTACATGACGGAAATACCAATCTTTGGCACCGTCAGTCAACGCATTCCCGGTGAGCCGTAACCGGTCCATGTCTAAACGTGGACCCGTTATCCGGAGCACTGAGAAGTACGTTAATAGTTCGAAGAGCCATTCTTCGAACCGGTATAGGTCATCGGTGCCAGCCCAGGTGGACGGCTTGTCCATCTTGGCCGACCTCAAGTAACCTGGTGCTTCACCGTCTGGATCGTCACTCACCAGTTCCTCAATCATGCCTAGGCATCGATCGAGGGAGCGACTGGTGTTGTGCGCTGGGCCATCCATGTCCCTTTCGGATGTGGATGGTCCGTGTTCATGAGTACTACTACCTTGCATGTAGGAGTACATGCCTTGGTAGTCGTACTCATGGCTCGTCTGTCCAGACGACGAACTGGAACCCCCTACTCCGGGTGGGAATGATACTCGTACTCCCTCTCGGGAGTACGTGGATCTGTTATCAGGTTTGGGTACTTCCCCGCGGAAGTACCTCCTGATTTCTTCGCGAGCAGCGGTCTTTTGAGATGCGCTGGCCTGCGGTCGGACGCCCTCCGAACGAGGGGTCGTACCATGCTTCCGTTCCGCGGGGGATGGGGTTACTGGTTCAGTGCCCTCATCCGTCCCACTGCTGCTCGATACCGACGGTCGCCTGAACGGTGGGACCATGGTAGGAGAGGGCGATTGCGGTGGGGCCCGGTAGTGATAATGGATCTTATCATACTCAGGCCCTGACGTCCGGTAAGGTGATCTTACCTGGCGACTACTACTCGGGGTAGTAGTCGTCCGTGTCGGTATCGGGATCCTGTCCCTTGCCGCCCGACGTCGTTGGTACTCCTCTTCTAACTCTCCTCGCTGGCGAGGGGAGTTGATGGCCTCCGCGGCTGCCTTGAAAACCGGGTCCTCCTGGTCCTCAGGTTGGGGTACTGTGTCCCGTACCCCTGACGTCTGTATCGATTCCGTGTCACTTACTGCGTCGGTATCGGACATCTCAGCTGCCTGGCGGACAGTTGTCATTTTCTGGTTTGCGTCTTCCAATACTGCAGCCAACTTCGCGTCGAAGTTGGCCGCATTCTGGCGAGACTCCTCGCGGAGCTGGCCCAGCGATATCTTGAAGTCGTCAAGTGCGCTCAAGACTTTCGCCGCCTTACGGGATCCCGTACGGGATCCTGTTCGAGAACCGGTTGCACTGGAAGCTCGGGATCGAGGTTTGTGCTGTTCTGTCCTCGATCCAGCAGAATGCTCCTTCGCAGGCGCATCCTGTGTGTTGGTCGTATCGGTAGAAGTCGCTCGTCGAGATGACTGAGCCCTCCTGCTCGATACCCCTTCTTCGGGCCCTAGGTCCTCACGCTCCTTCTTGGTGGAAGGAGACGACGAGGTCCCATGTGGTTGCGCTGAAGTCTCGACCTTACTGGTCGAGGCCTCATCACTTGGGTTGCCTTTCGGGGCAGTTGGTGACGACGTATTGGTCGTCATCGGAGATGCTTTCTTTTGAAAGCGGCCGCGGCTATCTCTTTGTGGTAGCGGCCTGCCTGTTCGGTCGTACTCCGTGATGGAGTGATGTTTTGTTATGATAGATCCCGCTCGACGTTCTCAACGTCGTATTCGACCGCACGCACTTCTGTGTAGAAGTTCGAGCTTTCGAAGGAGCGTAAAAAAGTGTAACGCCCCCTTACTCACGCCGTGATACGCTGCACCCAGTCTCTATTCCAGAGTGGTGCGGTATCGGTGACGAGTGTAAAGGAACTGGAACTCCCACACTCGCTGGCGCCGTCCTTAAGGGACGGCGCCTACGCACGCGATCGTAGATACATTATATGTCCTAATTTAGTAACTACGTGAATGTAACGTAGCCACGTTACAGTAGGGTAGGGCGAACCTAGGATGTCTCCCTGGTTGCCATCGCGGTGAAAGACCTCGTCGAGGTAACGCATCAACTCGTCGATCTCGGGGAACGACCTAGGAGCGGGAAGCGTATCGTTCGCCAGCAGGATGGCCCGGCTACGGGACTCGAACAAGAATCGCTGTTCGAAGGTCGGTTCGATGGTTCGAACGATAGTCTAAGTTCGGAGGCACGTACGATCATCCAACGGACTCCGTGAGCCCAAGCCAGCCACTCTCCGGGACTGTTGGCATCGTATCGCGGCTCGACAAGTCCCTCGGTCTTGAGGACCTCTAGGAGGCGGTAGTAGCGGGCAGCATACGCTTCGGAAGTTGGGTCGAGGTGCGGCATGTTCGTGTAAGTCAGGCGAACTCCTGCAGCTGTCTCATATCTTCGAGGACTGTCACCGGCTCCGGTTATGACCTTCGCCGTTCGGGGACGGTCGCCCGTTATGCGGAACCTGCGGAAGGCCGAGTTGGATTCTCTCATGTGTTAGTAGGTCCGGGTCGAGCGTTGTGACATTCTCCGATTGGCTGCTTTCCTTATCACTTTCATTCATCATTTCTTATTTCTCTTGGCTCTCTTGGTCTTCGGACCGTATTTTCCTGTATATACTCTGGGACTTGTTCCCTTCGAATCTCAGAGACCCCCTTACCCTCTCAATCTCACCTCGCGCCGGCGAGGTTCGTCAGCCAGTCAGTACGTTCGAAAGTCAGCAAGTTCGCCAGTCAGTCAGTACGTTCGAAGTCAGTCAGTCAGTTCGCCAGTACGTTCGCCAGCTCGTAGTTGCCCCGAGAGGCTCTACACTTCTTCCCCTGCCGTCGCTCACCTCTCTTGTCACCGTTCGTTCGACACGTCTGTCGAAACCCTCCCTCCTACCTCCGAGGCTTAGCCCCCGTCTTCGAACAGTCTTCGACATCTTCGAAGCTCTCCCACGTCGTTCGGAGTCTTGTCCGTCCTCCTCCTTCTTACCTAGACCACTGTACAGTCCCCCGTACATCTCATAGACGCAGAGGCCTCGCATACCACTGCTCGACCTCACGGTTGGGTTTTTGTGTGGCTTTTGTGTTCTTTTCGGTCACGTCAGCGGGGCAACAATAATAAGGGATGTCCGACGTGAGCAGACCGTGTTGCGGCATGGATCCCCAGATCCCGAGAACCCCGCCTCCCTGCGACCTCACCACCCTCCCAGCCCCTGCCCCTCCTGCATCCAAGGCGTGTCGGGGTGTGGGCAGTCGTAGGTATCGTCCTGGTCTTCATCATCCCCTAGTGACCCGTAAGGTGGGCCACTTAACCATCATAATCTCCCCGCGAAGGCGCGTTGAGCGCGCCTGTAGTTACAATAGGCGCTTATCCATCACATCACCAAGGGCGCTCCCAGAGCCCCCGCCCCCCCTGCACCGTGTCCGCCTTCACAATGCCGCTTGCAGCCCAATGTATAGCACGCTCAAAACCCCCAGGGCTGGTGTCAACCAACGAGGGCGGCGCCGAGAACGACTCCCCCCAACGGCATCGTTTGTGTCGAAGGATTTTTAAGCGAGTCGGGGGCCCGCCGACATGATCCAGTCCTCGCCCTGCTTGGCTGTGGGTGCTGTGTAATTGCGGAGACCTCCTCCCCAGCAGTGGCAGTTTTCATGTAGCGAGGGGCAAGCTCAGGCCTGGCGTAGCGGGAGCGGGATCGATGGGACAGGAAGGGGATCGGGTCTGCAACCCGCGATCGGTTTTTTGAGGTCGTCCGCGGTCCCGATTCGTTATCGAGTTGGTCGATATAGGGAAGAAAGGAGTGTGGGGTCGAGTTGGGCGAGTCTTGACACTGAGTGAGGATGGGACGGGCGAGAGAAAGGGCAGATGGGTGCCGATAGCGCGGGCGCTAAAGGGAGATGATGGTGGTGCGAGGTCAAGAAGGGATCGGCGCTAGCTTGCCTCGGACGCGTCTGTGCCAGCGATGGCCGTACGGAACACAGCGTCGACTGTGGCCGCCTTGGTGAAGTGCTTCAGCACTGAGAAGCGCTTCGTCAGCTTGAGGTCGCAGTAGTGCGGGTCGTTGAAACTGGCATGGTAGATGATTCTTTCCCGATAGACAGTCAGAGGTAATGCGCTTAACTTGTCGAAGTAGTATCACCGTCGTCCCGGCAGGTCGAGTTGTTGGCTGCACAGGAGCCGGCATTGTTAGACAAGACGGGCATGGGTCGTACTGCTCTCCCCGGCCAACATCAGGAAAACCCTCTTTCCGTAATTCGTGGTAATGTTCTAAAATTGTCGATAATACACGGAACATGGCAGAACACTCAATAATACTTTGCCATTATGAATCCAATGCATCACACCTCTCGTATTCGCGAGTATTATTCCGAAGTCAGTACTTGTTTCTCGCATGTGCAATAATTTGCATATATTCGTATCACTGGGTACATATTGTCTATAACATCGTGGACTGCATAGTATTGAGCTCAAGGGTCTAGACTACATCATTACAAGTTGGTACTACAGGAGTCATTCACCTGTGGCCGAGCACAGGTATACCTATGCATATCCCAGGCTCGACCCATGCACGTACCCACCCGGGTACAAATCCGCCACAGCAGATACAAGATCCGCATAGGCAAGCGAGACGGCGGGCGAGCGGGACAGCAGGCAGGCGGAATGGCAGGTAAGCGGAATGGTGGGTAAGCAGGACGGCGAGGGGGATAACAGGTGAGAGGAAGACAAGTGTGAGGGACGACGGATATAGCGAGATGGTGGGCGAGCAGGACAGCGGCGAAGGGGAGCGACAGGGAGTTCGACAACAGACGAGGGGGGCGGCGGGCGAGTGGAATAGCGGGTGGACGAGCTGGAGAGAGGGTGAGGGCGAGAACGGGTGACCGAGTCAGCGCGCGAGCCAGCGAATTAGCAGACAAACCAGTAAGATGACGTCGTGGCGTGCCCTTCCTCAGCAAGCCTACGCGCGCTGATGCTCGGTGGGCTTTTGCACGCCGCGCTGAGTGCCTGGCAGGCTGTTGCTCATCGCGGTCCTGCTCGATGGGCTGTGTTGTACCGGGCTTGGGCACATCATACTGGTGTGCGGCGAGCTGGCCGATGTCGTACCAGCGCGCGCCGTATCCGTAGGTACTTGCACTTGTTGGGCAAACATGCGCCGGGGCTGTCTCCGTCATGTCACGGTGTTAGGCTCCGTCAACTCATCCTTGGTGGGCATTCCCGGAGTCGAGGTGAAAAGCGGGGTGCTCACCCGACTCACTGGCCCTGCTGGCCGCGACCCGCGTTCCTCCCTGCATCTTAACCCTTCGCGAGGCCTCCAGCGACGCTCTTAGCGCGTCGCTGGGGGTCGTTGCACAGCGCGATCTTGGCCTGATCAGTGGTCCGTTGTACACGCCGTCTCCCGCGAACGGGTCCACCTGTGTGTACTGAAGGTCAGCGGCGGGTAAGCGAGGGCAAAGCAGGCAGGGAGGAGCGGGCTGACAGTGAAGGCGGAGTGTGCATGTGAGACTGGAGAGTCGAAGTCCAGCGAGCGCGCGTGACGTGTCGTGGCTGATGAGGCGCTTAGCACTTCTCACGAGTTGCAGTCAAGTTGCAGTGACGACAAGCCATTCCCCGTCCCTCCCCATTCCTCGTCTCTCCCGTGTCTTTCGACTCGAACGCACCGCTCGCATGGCCCTGGTAAGCCGCAGGACGATCATGCGGGCTCGGACATGCCCGACCGGACGAACGACGTCGGGACTGGTCGCCGTCCGGCGGTTGAGCGGTCGAGCGGTCGCTCCGCGCTGGCCAAGCAGCCGTGCGTGCGGAGCCGTCCGACAAGAACGATGGTACGAGACCGCCGTCCGAAACATCCCGTCCGGTCTGCTACAGACTAGACGGCCGCCGCCCTCGATCCTCGCCGCCGTCCGGTATGGTTCTCTCGTCGTCCCGGACTCGCCACCTCCCGCGGTCTGCCGGTCGACCCGGCTCGCGTCCCCGACCGACAAAGACACGACGTATCGCCGTCCAGCGAACAGGGTGGACGGGACGGTGGGTGCCTCGGCGGGGAGAGTGTTCGGCCGAGTGCTAGCGTCAGGTAAGCATTGTTACCCATCCAAAATCGAGATGGCTGCTAACCGTGCGACCCTACTCGTCTGCCGCGTTGCTACGCAGGTTCCGCGTTTGAGACTTGAGTGCCAGCACATACGGAGACAGCTCGGGGACGTCGTGGAAGGTGAGTCGATGTGCTATTGTGCACAGGATGATACTGATGAGCACTCGTCTGCCGCGTTATCAACTGGTATGCGCCTCAGACGGTCGCTATTTGCTCACCTCCGGTCGGTCTGCTCACCTCGGGAAGACGTCGTGCTCGCCGTCCGGGGCGCAAGCACAGCCGACGAACGGGAGGCGGGCATGTGAGCAGATGCGGTGACCTTCTCGTTCGCTCACCAGCCGCAAGCTTGTCCACCCATTTGCCCTCTTGCATGCTCGCCTGTTCGCCCGCTCGCCCACCTGCCGTCTGTAACGCCGCCGCCTGGTCAGAGTCGCCCCCTCTTGCATACTTGCTCTCACATCCGACTCTGTCCGCCCTCCTGTATGTCTGCCAAAGGGGGCCTGTTCTCTCGCCTGCCTTACCTCGCCCGCATACTCTCTCTCGTGTTTTCAGCCTTCTACCCTCTTGCGTGCTCACTCTCTCGGCTTCTTGTTCCCTCACTGTCTCGCTCTCGCGCGTCCTCTCGACCTCACTCTCGAGCATTGTCTTAATGGCTTGATCCTTCATGCACTTATCCTCTCGCCCGCCCGTGTGCTCGCCCATCTATGGTTTGACATGCTCATTCGGTGGCTCGTCGGCTCTCTGGCTCACCCACTGGCTCTCGCCTGGCCGCCTCCTCTCACTGCTCTCACATGCCTGTATATTCTCGCTCTGTCACATGCTCCTACATCATCTCGCCTGCGCACCCTCTCGCCCGCGCACCCTCACCTGCGCAACGTCTCGCCCGCGTCACCTCTCGCTCGCACACCCTCTCGCTCGCACACCCTCTCGCTCGCACACCCTCTTGCCCAGGCCCCTCTTGCTCGTACATTCGCTCGCTAGTCCATCAAGCCGTCCACCCACTCTTGTCCGTGCTTCTTCGCTATGCTTTCTCTTGCTGGCGCTCTCACGCGCCCACTCGCCTGTCCACTCATTCGGCGCCCATTTGTCCCACCCCCACTCTTGCCGATGCTCCGGCAATCCCCTCCACCCACGCAAGACTCTTACCCGCTCTGGCGGGCCTGTATACAGGTGGGTATGGGTACAATAGGGATTGATCTTGGTATATCACGAGTACGAATTCCGCTGGGTGTATTGTATTGGATCGCCGACAGTAGATTATAATGCATCTCATGTTTTCTCGTACCTATGCGTCTGTGCAGAATGTGCTGCGAACATCAAGAATAAAGACAATGATTCATATAATAGTGAGGAACCCTGCCCCTAACACGACTGTATTCGGCACAATATCCTGTTATTCGTAGGTCGACCTCCGGACCATAGCGAATAAAGCACTACTACAGCGAACAAGAGAATGGCCACAATTACTCATTTTTCGCAGTAATAATACATCATTCGTTGTTATTCCGAAAGTAGGGTTTTCCTGATGAATCGCGGCGAGCGGGTCATCTCATTCACTGCACTGTAGCCTGCCATGACAGTCCTCAGATAGAAGTCCTTCCGGAATATCCTCTGCACTCACAGTAAACCTGGTCGGCACCCCACAACTGAGGTTACGGCCTTCCTCGAATACCTACTACTCCCGAGTAGCGTTCGCGACCCGGAAGCCGTACTGGTGATGCGCGTTCGTACAGAGGGACCTGGAACGGTGTCGTTCAACTGTATTCGCGCGTCGACTATGTATGTGCCTAGGTGAGGCGCGAAGTGAGTCTCGCACAGGGTAGGACAAGGTGGAGATTCTTGCCTGTAGAGGACGACGTCTGCGATGACCTCGGTGCAGTCCTACCGCCTTCAGAGTCGCGGCAAGGGCTATCACCAGCACTGTTCGCTGTTCTGAAACAACCTACATGCCTTCTTGTCCACAAAGTGTGGCAGGGTCGCCATCCTCGAGGTTGTCTTCAGGCTTGCTTGGAAAGAGAATGGATCAACGGGAAGTACAGAGGCGGGTCAACACAGATCCTCACTTCATGGGCGAGACATCCGTGATCTCGACACCTTGTGTCTTCCAATAGCCGATCACATCAGTCAGGTATCGGGCGTAGACGGGTGTCACTCTGTTATGAGAGTGCCTCCGCAATTCTCGCTGTTGTTGGTCATCGGGCTATGTGATGGCCGGGACACCATGGCGAGCTGCCTCCTTGAGGAAGAAGGTACCGGACGCATCAAATTGTAGGCTCCACCGCCTCGGAACGATGCCGAGTCAGCCACGGTTCGGATGCACGCCTCAGCGACGCGAAACTCACCTGATATAAGGCATCTTCAGGCTGTGCTCAACCTCAGGTGCCAACGCCAGCCCATCCCCTCCCCAATTGTAGAAGAAGTCAGTTATGCCAGCACCTATACGGAGCCGGTGAAAGAAAAAGGCCATGCATCAGTGCGCGAACCAATACACGTAAGCCCACAACCGCACACACACCCTAAATCTGTTTCATGGGCAGCTTCGAGATGTTCCGGCGAACTTGAACCTTAGCGGAGAATGACGCGGCGTCGTTCACCCGTGGCCAGCCTACGCGATATTCTGCCGGGTCGTAGTTTCGCGTCACATACACCCTTGACAACAGCAAAGACACTAGGCGTTGAGTACTCGGAGGACCACACTGGGCTGAATGAGAGCAGCGGCCCGGGCGCGTGCGTTGCGCACAAACCAGATGCGAAGGACTTGATACCGAGGTATTAGAGGTATTAGGCGTGTCAGGAGGTGATCTTTCTGAATCACAGTAGCGGGCCAATTGACTGTCAGATGCACGTCCTTGGGGTCATACGAACATCCCCTGCAAGACAGTGGTGGCGGACCTGGGGTGAAGTCGTTAGCGCGCAGATAGAGGCCTTGCCCGTTACGGCAGGTCGCCTGCCTTACTGGGCCATGTCTATTCCTGGAGCTACATGTCGCAAGTAGTAGGTCTGGGAGGTAGACTTGTCGCATCTCCATTCAGGCCTTTACGCCGCTGATGCCTGCCAGTGTTCCTGGAGACTGCAATTTACTGCGATCTCTCAGTGTCAGTGCGCAGACTCTCAGGCTTATCGGCCCAACCTGACTCACTAGCGGCCCGGGTCGATTCATTCACATTGCGACTCCTCCGTCATGCCAGTGCTGTGCTCTACGCTCTGTTCTCATCTACTTTTCTCCCCAGGATGCGCTGGGCAACAAGGCTTGCCATCTTGAGTCTCGCACTGATAGTTGATGCATTGGTAGTCAATGCATCTCAACAGCAGCTTCTCACAGTACCCGCTAGCGTGGACCAGTCATGGTCATCCCGACCATGGGACGAGCGGCCGAACGAGGATGCGACGGGCAACCTCATCTTCCAGTCCTTGGCTGGTCTAATGCAGATGAAGGCGAACTCGAAGCACCCGCGAGGTATGTTGCGAAGTCATGAGTTATCTTCGAGTCGGACATGAAGTAGAACTGACTCGCTACGCAGGGCATGCCATCGTCCGCACAACCATCCCTCTGGGCACGCTGCTCTACCACGGCCGGCCAAAGACAGAGTCCCCCGCCCAGGATTGGATCGCCTTCGACCCTGAGCACTCGATCATCTTCGCGAGAGGCCCGAATGGCACCCTGTTCACCTTCAAGACTACGCGCGAACTCACGCTTCTTTACTTTGACGGGTGCAGCGCCAACAAAGTCGAGGGCGTTGTCGATACGCAGGACTTACTCTTCTTCGGCGAGCTCAAGCACAAGCATCAGGGCTGGTGGGGTGAGCTAGAGCGTATCAAGGACGGATGCGCGTGGGGGAAGCAGTATGGAGTTGATGGATTCATCAGGATGGAATTCGACTTGTGCGCGGTCTTCCCTTCTGGATGGCCTTGTCTGACCGATTGACTTTCAGCGAAATCATGTATTGTGACTTCTCAGACGGTCTGGAGCTCGTCTCCGCTGTGCCAGCGATCAGCGGTTACTTAAACCTTCCTCATCCTCCGGGAAAACCAGACTACGTTGCTCCTCCCGAAACGGAGCCTCGGAATTCTAGCTACGACTCCTCCAGACATAATAGCTCAGATCCAGAAGCCACTTTCCATGGCCTACGCAGAACAGAATACCAAGATGACAGTCTAGAAGCACCCGACAGCCTGGGTCTGGCGGGCCTCCCTCCGCTAATCCCGCCTCCTGGCTGGAAAGGTACCCTACCCTTCACCGGCTGGGAAGCCAAACGCGCCGGGACGTGGCACAACAACTTCCCCGGCGAGTTGCGCGCGCACCCCGACCCCTCCACGCTCATCACCTTCTTCGACCCATCCCTAACCTCGCTTGTCGAGGCGCGGCGCTCCTTGACGCGAAACGAGTACAATGCCGGGAATGCCTCTCGCGAGGACGTCGCCCGCGTGCGCGCAGACGTCGCTGAGATGGCCGCGCGTGAACCAGGAGCCAGAAGCGGTGTGGACTGGGTAGACCTCGCGCGCGTCATCGAGGACAGGTTCGCGGATAGGCTGCCGTATCTGCAGTACCTGCTGCACCAGTCGGTGGTGAACGCGTCGGCGCAGGCGGCTGCGGTGCGCAAGCAGCTCATTGTGTCGCTCGTCCCGTACATGCACCGCGGCGCCATCGGCACGCTGGAATGGTTCGCGGACATCGCGCACGGGTGCGCGGCGCGGTTCACGGAAAGCTTGCCTGTGTCGAAGTTTACAAAGCAGGAGTATTTGCTGTACCGCGCTGTGGAGGAGGTGCTCCACGAGATCTGCAGAGTATATATTGGGGCGTGGGTGGATGCGTTTGACGTGGAGGCCAAGGACGCGGAGGTCGCAGCGCGCTTGCTAGGGAAGTGGAGCGGCGAGTTCGACGCGTTGACCGAGTGGTTGGATTGGCCTGTGTGGATACAGTGTCATCCCGCTTGCGGAGTGAATGTGAGTCATCGGTTCTTTCACTTAGCTGCTTAGCTGCTTCTCTGCTCACGCCTTCCCGTATGTATACAGGAGTATTGTTATGTACCGCAGGGTACACCCTGGAACCATATGGATGACCACGAGCCGCGGTGTCTACCATTAGAGGACGAGAGATTTTGATGTTCATTTGCTAATTTGCGGTCGCTCCGTTAGGAAGATCGCTGCGCGTTATTAAGTTACTTACTATAGTACTGTCCGTTGAGTGCTCGAAGGACTACACTGGGTTGAATGAGAGCAGCGGCGCGTGCGCTGTGCGCAAACCAGATGCGAAGGACTTGACACCGAGGTATTAGGTTCGTTATGAGATAATCTTTCTGGATCACAGTGACGGACCGATTGTCTACACAGGCACGTCCAACCAACTTCTCCTGCAAGACGATAGCAGTATGAAGATGCGACACGGGTGATCCTTTCATCTGTCCAAACTACGTGTATGTATAGTCTCAGGCTTGATCCGAATTGTATCGTGATACCAGTAGCCCGGAGAGCATATCCCAGGGACCACTTGAGAGTGCTCAAGCCGCAGACAAGGCCCGTGTAATTGCGTGAATCCGAACCTAATGACGAGCACCGAGATTTACGGCCTGGCGGCAACCCATGAGAGAGACGATTGCACGAGTGCCTTGATGCCTAAGTAGAAGCGAATTACTATAGCCCGTCCGTCGGCGCAGTGTGACGTGTGTCGTCGTCGGAGATATGCTAAGTACACCAGGAGGACTAGGCTTCAAGTTGAGACAATACTACAGACGATCGAGGTTCCTACTACTTCCACCCTTGTTCACTCCTTGATCTCCCATTTGTGAAATAAACCTAACCAATGCTTTCAGCCTCCGAGGTCAGCCTCTTCCAACTCATTGCTCACCCGGTATCTCAGGCAACCACCCCGCGCGTTCCTTGCAGAAGAACTCGCCCTTCGGCGGGAGTGCATCGGGCTCGTCAAGGCTGCCGTAGAACAGGTAGACGTTCTCTCCTGCGTGCGCGCCGTACTCGAGGACGCCCGACCCGCACGCGCCGCAGAACTCGCGCGTGAGCTGCGTGCCGGAGCCGTTGTCCCCGACGTGGTGCGTCGTCCGGCCCTTCGTCACGCGGTAGGCGGACTCGGGGACCTTGGCGGTGACACCGAATGCGGAGCCGGTGAATTTCTGGGGAGCGTGTCGGTCAACCTCATGGGATCGGGCCTCGCGAGGAAGGAAGACCGCACCTTGCAGTTCGTACAGTGGCAGACACTCATGCGTGCCTGATCTGGGGACTCGAGATTGAGTTCGTAGCGGATATTACCGCAGTAGCACCCTCCGTTGTATGTCGGCATGGCTAGTCGAGTTGTACGGCTAAATCTGCGATGTGCTGGGTAGGGGACTTGAAGCCGAGGCTGAAAGGTACGCGCAGATGCCTTGAGGAATGCTCGCGCGAGGAACGTCGACATTCAGCAGACACAGGACCGACGCTTGGAGACGCTATATATTTCATCTTGTGTGGAGACGAGGTATGGTGGGGCCACGGGGTGGTGATGATGTCAGTGTGATCGAGACGAGACATCACTGTGAAGCGCATTCTTCAAGTCGTTTGGATCGAGCGTAACATACGTACAACTGTACATAGGCGTTAATTTGCTTGCTTGTCGGGTCAGGATGTCATGTCGTGATAGGAGTAAACGGCACTGTGTTATCGTACAAGCTCCGAGTCAACTGGCTAGAATGTGGCGGCGAGAATTAAGTAGTAAACGTGTGGTATCATTAAGTGAATGGGTATGGGGAGCAAAGATGTGGAGACAATTCCAGCAAGTCACGCACGAAGATATTGTCATGCCAGTCGTGCACCACCTGGACCGACGGAGTGTGGCATCAACGCGCTGGCCATAAGCTGATGACAACTGCGTAAGCGTTCCCTCCGCGCAACGAACCAGGAGCCGGCGTCGCAGGGGACAGCGAGAGGGACGCCGATCAGACCGCTATTCTGTGCGGCGCGAACGGCGTGTATGAGTGAGTCGACCTCCGCTTCGGAGTCGAGCTCGTCCAGGTTCTCGTAGCCGTCGTCTTGGCCAGCGACAGTGGCCCCCGCGACGGCTCCCGCAGCAGTTGCAGCCGCTGTTCCCTTCTTGCTCTTCTTCGTGGCCGCACCTGTGACCGCGGCGATCGCACCTTTCTTTGTGAGGTCCACGCCAGCGGCGGCGGCGGCCTCTAATGCCTGGCGCTTTTTATCTGCCTTCTCTTTCTCTTTCCGCTCTTTGCGCTGCTCCTTGCTCTCCTTCTTGACCGGCTCGACGAAGTTCGGATTGTTCTGCCGATTCCATTCTAGGAGGAGCTCGTCGTAGGGCTTTGAGCGGCCCTGGACCGAGCGTTTGGCGCCCATGGCATGGGACTTGCAGGTGAGGGAGCGTGAGCAAGGAAGTCCCTTGTCGTTGATGACACCACACTGCTTGTCGTAGTCGACGGGGCCCTTGAAGCGGCCCTTGGTAACTTTGGTGGCAGGTTTCTTCTTTTTGGGAGCGGAGGGATCTTCGGGGGTGGGCTCCTCGTCCTCTGCCTTGCGTTTCTTGCCCTTTGAGGCTTCGACCTCCTTTCCCTTCCCGCTCTTCTTCATCGCGGCACGGAGCTTAGCGCAGTTGACTACGAGGACGGCATGATTAGCACGCGCGAATCGTGGGATGCATCTGACACCGAAGCAGTGCAGCAGCAGCCAAACACCTCCTCTTCCACTATTCTGGTCGTCACTCGATAGATCGCGTTTGACTCACCGGCATGGGCCTCGACTGCACTCCGGAGGACGGGTTTGGCGCAGTCCCTGCATTTGACGAAGCCAATCTCGGGCTTGAGCGGCTCTGCACCGAAGACCTTCATGTCAGGTGCTGACAGCCAGGGAATCGGCGGCGAGGCGGGTGCGTCGGTGTCAGACGGCGGCGAGGGCATTGCGGAGAGGGTGTCCCACGAGAACGGGGGCGGCTCGGGGGAGTGGGTGGGCCTGAGCTTGAGGGCCATGGCGATGACAGGGACGGCAACAGCGATGGCGGTGGCGGCGGACTCGGTGCGGCCCCGGGGCGACGGTGGGTCTGCAAGGGGACTGGTGCGAGATTGCGATCTGCGGGACTGCGATCGTCGCCGCGGGTGTTCGCCGTTCGGGACTGGCGGGCGGGCGTGACGCGTGATGGCGGCCACCAACGTGCGCGTCACGTCACGCGGCGCGGCCCCAGATCGAGGCAAGATCGAGGCCCGGGCGCGTTGCGGGGTAGGATTCCCACGCACATGGTGACCGGGATCGCGTGTGTGACGTCAGGACGAACGCGTCGATGCCTGTGATGAGGACAGGACAGGGTATCGCCGGGCGCTGTCACGGTCCTCGCGTGCGCGCCGCCCTGGTTCGAATAAAACCCCAAGTCGAAGACGCGTCCCCATCTGTCTCCATCTTACCTTCACCCGCTCACTGTCACACCCCACCATGCCCAACGCGACAAAGAAGTTGAAGGGCTCGCTCAAGATGCCGAAGATGGGTGGGTCGTCGTCGCGTCCAAGCAGCGCAGGGTCGTCTCCCACGACGCCAAAGACACCAAAGACGCCTAAGACGCCCGCCGATGAGGGTATCGACTTCTTCGAGTCGGCGTTCAAGCAGGGGGAAAAACCGGTCCATGTGTACGAACTGCAGTTGGAACCGGATGGCGGACCTAGCAAAGACCGAGCTGTTGAGTATCGATCATCTCTTTGGCCGCATAGACAGCATCATTATATGCGCATATAAGGAGCAGCGATGGACAGAAGATACCTGTCTGTGCTGGCTCGTGCTTGCGTCTGATACCGGAGACGAAGACTGATCTTCAGCGGGGACGCGTGCCCTAGCCGCGAAGGCACTCTGGGTCTCGCTAACACTTAGCATTTGGCACCACCCCGGTCTATCCCTTGTGTGATCGCGCTACTTCCAATGAGTATATGCTGACTAGTCACTCAGTATATGCGCCTCCCTCCGGCGATCTCTCCGTATGTCCTCCGTGTATCACTGGATGCAGGTACCCCCGCCTCGAAGAACGGTGTATTCAAGACCAACTTTCCACTCGATGGTGGCGTCTTCGCCCGCGATCGGTTTGCCGAGCGAAAGTACGCGTCGCCCTCATCTTGCGCCTTCGTGTGCTCACTTTAGTCTCAGGCTGCCTATCAATTTCTCCAAACATATACATGTCAATCTGCCAATCTCCCATGCCGGTGCATTTGCATACTGGGTGGAATACGACGGCGAGGAACCGGGTACACGCGTCAAGGGTCGCGAGGGCTACTTCAACATCGACCCCATCCTCCGAACCAAGGCGCGGACGCCCATTCTCTCGAAGGGTGGTAGCATCTCCGAGAAAGGCGCTTCTGTACAGTCCGACTATGTGAACTTGCCACTCGATGGGCTTTCCATCCTTACGCTCGTCTCGAAATGGATGGGCAACACGAAAGGCTGGCGCGAGTACCTCGCAGAGAGTAGCGCGCGAGGATACAATATGATCCACTGGACGCCTCTTCAGGAGCGTGGCGAGAGCAATAGTCCGTACTCGATCCGCAACCAGTTGGTTTACGAGCCGTCGATGTTCGCGGGCGGAAAGAAGGATCTTGGCTCTGATGGCGGCGTAGCGAAGGTCGAAGAACTGCTCAAGATCGCGAGGGATGAATTTGGGCTGCTTAGCCTTACGGACGTCGTGCTGAACCACACGGCAAATGACAGTCCGTGGTTATTAGAACACCCCGAAGCCGGTGAGTCGGCTTCTATGCGCCCATGCTAGCCCTATTGACCAGCTCCCAGGCTATAGCCCGGCGAACACGCCTCACTTGACCCCGGCACTCGAGCTCGACGACGCTATCATACGTTTCTCCAAGGAGCTGGTCTCCAAGGGCCTCCCGACCACCGTCGGCTCACAAGATGACATCGATCGACTCATCAGCGGGTTTCAGGACTACATCAAGGACCTGAATATGTGGCAGTACTACGCCCTCGACGTCAAGAGGGAACGTGAGGCCGTCCTGACTGCGCTCACAGGTGGAAATGCGGCAGCTTGGGATGGCGCAGACGTTGTGTACAAGTCCGTCGCGGAGCTGGCTGAAATCATTCGTGCATCTGGGAAGGTGCATGGGCTGAAGAAGTTGGAGAAGAAGCTGGGGACGTATGTTGATGGACCGGTTGCAGCTGGTCTGGTGAAGGCGGCGTTCGTGGATCTTGGGAACGATGTCAACGCACTCGCGGATGCGTGGATCAGGGTCGTGGACGTGTTGAACGTGCCGCTCTATGAAGAGTGGAAGGAAGACACTAGCGTCGCGCTGGACAGCATTAAGAACAGGTTGAGGTACACTCGTCTGGATGACCATGGTCCGAAGATGGGTCCTATCACCGAACAGTGAGTGTTGATGTACAGTTCCTGGATCCCATCTGACAAAACATGCAGATCGCCTCTCGTAGAGACGTACTTCACCCGTCTTCACTTGCGGAAGACGAACACTCCTCTTGATCCCGCCAAGTACTCCGTCGCTAACAACGGCTGGATCTGGAACGCCGACCCTCTGTCGAACTTCGCGCTTCCGCCGTCTAAGGCGTACTTGCGCCGCGAGGTCATCGTTTGGGGCGACTGCGTCAAGTTACGGTACGATGACTCGCCCGAGGCGAACCCGTGGCTCTGGGAGCACATGAAGAAGTACGTGACATCGCTCGCGAAGACGTACTCGGGCTTCCGGATCGACAACTGCCACTCGACGCCGCTGCATGTGGGCGTGTACATGCTCGACGCAGCGCGCGTGGTCAACCCGGACCTGTACGTGTGCGCGGAGCTGTTCACGGGGAGCGAGGAGACGGATAAGCTGTTTGTGAGTCGTTTGGGGCTGAATAGCTTGGTCCGGGAGGCGGGAAACGCCTGGGACCCGAAGGAGTTCTCGAGGCTATTGTACAGGCATGGCTTGGGGAAACCACTTGGTGAGTGCCAATCACAACCATCCAACTGATTTGCTCACTGGCGATTTGCGATACAGGCTCGATGGACAGCGCTTGCGTGACGAGCAAAGAGGAGCTTCCGCCTCCGACAGGCAAGGGACCGACACGCCCGTGCCTCGTCATCCCGCACAACGGCTCAGCTCCGCACGCGCTCTTCTACGACCTCACGCACGACAATGAGACGTACCTTGACAAGCGGTCCGCGGAGGACGCCTCTCGACGGGTGCGCTCATCACGTTCTCGTGGTCTGCCATTGGCTCGGTCAAGGGCTTCGACGACTTGTACCCGAAACTCCTCAACCTCGTTGGCGAGAACAGGAAGTACGAGGTGACGGGAGTTCGGAGACAAGAGCGGCATCGCGAAGGCGAAAGGCTGTTGAACTCGTTGCATACGGAGATGGCGCTTGGAGGCTTCGAGGAAGGGCATGTCCACCAGGAGAATGATGTGAGTATTCCATCTGTCTGTGGTATATGCGGCTGATCAGGTCTGGGTTCATAGTACATCGTCATACATCGGGTGCAGCCCTCGACTCAGAAGGGGTACCTACTCGTTGTGCATACGGCCTTCTCCAAGGGATCGAAGGATCGTGGTTACAGTGAGTCTATGCGTCGTCTTCGATGCGGAGCTAACGATGTGCCCTACTTCAGTCAACCCTATCAAGCTTCGCGGTACCAAGGCTAAGTTCATCTACGGTGCCCACATCGACATCCCCTCTATGAGATCAAGCAGGATCCGAAGACACTGAAGGGTCTTCCTGGCAAGCTTGTCGATATGCCTGCTGTGGTGGCGTCACAAGGACTGGATGGCGAGGGGCCCTATGGCGAGGTCACCGTGCCCGAGTACTTCCCGCCTGGGAGCTTCATGGTCTTTGAGACGCAGCTGCAAGGACTTGACCAGGCCCTAGATCTATTCTGCGCATCAGGCGCGGAAGAGGCGTTCGCGAACCTCGACCTCGTCGACCTGAATGTCATGCTGCACCGCGCGGATGGCGAAGAGCGGGATGCGACCGGCGGCGATATCGGCACGTACGCTATCCCAGGAACGGATGGCCTGGTGTATTGTGGTTTGGAGGGCTGGATGCACCCGTTGCGGCATATCATGCGGTACAACGATCTCGGACATCCTCTCTGTGCCCATCTGCGCGAAGGAACATGGGCGCTTGAATACGTACATTCGCGATTGTCGAAGTAAGCAGAAGTGATATAAGGCTATCCAGTTTCGGGTACTGACAATCATTGCTCTAGGCAAGTTGGAACGTTCCCAAACCTGGAGAAGCCTGCACAATGGTTCAAGGTGCGCGCCGAGCGGATCAAGGAGAGCGTCCCCCCTTTCCTGCGGCCGAAGTACTTCGCCATTGTCATCTCAGAGGCATACAAGGTCGCACGCAGGATGGCAATTGAGCAGTGCTCCGACTTTGTCTCGACGGGCCACTCCTTCACGCAAGACCTTGCGCTGTGCTCGATACAAATGCATGGTATGGTCCAGTCTGCTTCGCTCGACCCTGGCAAACCAACTCCCTCCCTGGCGGCTGGGTTGCCTCACTTCACCGCCGGATGGGCGCGATGCTGGGGTCGCGATGTGTTTATTTCACTCCGTGGACTCTTCTTGACGACGGGCAACTTCTCTGGTGCGAAGGCGCACATACTGGCCTTTGCGTCGACGCTGAAGCATGGTCTGATTCCTAACTTGCTGGATTCTGTTCGCAACCCACGGTATGCCTCGGTCTATATTTCTGGATGCTGATATATGTCTGATCCACTTATTGCGCAGATACAACTCGCGCGACTCTCCTTGGTGGATGCTTCAGAATATCCAGGACTACGTTAACAGCGCCCCGGACGGCCTCGCTATACTATCGGAGTCTGTCAAGCGCCGCTTCCCTAAGGACGATACCTGGGTCCCATGGGATGATGCTAGGGCGTACGCTTACTCCAGTACGGTTGCAGAGATTGTCCAGGAGGTTCTTCAGCGTCATGCCGATGGTATATCCTTCCGCGAGTACAACGCGGGTCCCAACTTGGACATGCAGATGAGCGATCAAGGCTTCAACATCGATATCCGTGTGGACTGGGAGACGGGTATCATCTATGGGGGTAACGAGTACAACTGTGGAACGTGGATGGACAAGATGGGCGAGTCCGTCAAGGCGGGTAACAAGGGCAAGCCAGGAACATCTCGTGATGGCGCACCGGTGGAGATCACTGGTTTGCTGAAGAGCACGCTGAGATGGCTCGCGCAGCTATCGAGCCAGGGAAAATTCCCGTTCAAGGGAGTCGAAGCTGAGAGTGAGTGACACACTTTTGGTGTAATGGAAAGTATTGATGTGGATCGCGCAGTCGATGGGAAGCGGCGGTTGGTCACGTACAAGGAATGGGGCAACCTGTTGCAGACTTCGTTCGAGGCCTGTTACTATGTTCCACTGGGTAAGTTGTATGGAACATGCCTCACGACGTCCTATTGAAGTGCGACCGTACAGATCCTGCCGACGATGCAAAGTACAACGTCAACCCAAGCATCATCAATCGTAGGGGTATCTACAAGGACGTCTACGGCTCCGGCCCTGGGAGGGAGTGGTCAGACTACCAGTTCCGAGCGAACTTCCCAATCGCAATGACGGTTGCGCCTGAGCTCTTTGACCCCGAGCATGCTCTGTATGCGCTTAAACTGGCCGATCAGGTCCTGCGGGCACCACTTGGCATGAAGACTCTGGATCCGCATGACATGCAGTACAGGCCGTATTACGACAACTCGAACGACAGCGATGACCCCGCTACTGCGAAGGGACGCAACTACCACCAGGTACGCGCCATTCCCGATTGATCTTTGTGTGACGCTCCGGCGACTCACGCTCATCGCAGGGTCCTGAATGGGGTTGGCCGCTTGGATATTTCCTACGCGCATATCTCTACTTCGACATTCAAGCAGGCTCGGGCAAGACAGTAAGCTACGACGGTTTCTCTATATTCAACTCTTCTGATATGCCTTTCCATAGGATGTTACCGAGACTCTTCACCGGCTTCACCGCTCACTCCTTACATCCCGCCGGCATATACAAAACGATCCTTGGGCAGGATTGCCGGAGTTGACGAACAAGGACGGCCAAATCTGCCATGACTCGTGCAACACGCAGGCGTGGAGCGCGAGTACCCTACTTGACTTCCTGGAAGAGGTGCACAAATTGAGTCAGGCCACGAAGTGATCGCATGGGCACGGATAATATTCTCCTTACACTCTCGCAAACTTGTTGTGTCCTCATTCCCACCTAGCCATAGCTGTCGCATCGCCAATACTGTATCACTCGTACCGCAGTCAGACACGTCGTACTTGAATGATACACCATAAGCACGTCGCATACCACGATCATGGCTTTGACTCTCTTAATCAGGAGTAACTTGAATCCTGGTACCACCTCAGCATCACCGATACGCTCACATCATCGATAATCTCACTGAAACACAGCTTGCCACGACGTTTCAAGTACTGGGAGGAATGAAGACACGACTAATTACCCTAGTAAGTGAATGCGTAGCATCTCCTGAACGTCGCAAGTAACTTATCCAATGCAATGAACATCAGAACGTCTCGTCCTCTAATAGTAGACACCGTGGCTCATGGTCATCCAGATGGCCCCAAGGCCGACCTTGCGGTACATAACAATACTCCTGTATACATACGGGAAGGCGTGAGCAGAGAAGCAGCTAAGCCAAAGAACCGATGACTCACGTTCACATCGCAAGCAGGACGACACTGTATCCACACAGGCCAATCCAACCACTCGGTCAACGCGTCGAACTCGCCGCTCCACTTCTCTAGCAAGCGCGCTGCGACCTCCGTACTCTTGGCCTCCACGTCGAATACATCCATCCACGCCCCAGTATACACTCTGCAAATCTCGTGGAGCACCTCCTCCACAGCGTGGAACAGCAAATGCTCCTGCTTCGTCAACCTCGACACAGGCAAGCGTTCCGTGAACCGCGCCGCGCATCCGTGCGCGATGTCCACAAACCATTCAGGTGTACCGATGGCGCCGCGGTGCATGTACGGGACGAGCGAAACAATGAGCTGCTTGCGCACCGCAGCCGCCTGCGCCGACGCGTTCACCACCGGCTGGTGCAGCAGGTGTTGCAGATATGGCAGTCTATCCGCGAATCTGTCCTCAATGACGCGCGCGAGGTCCACCCAGTCCACACCGCTCCTTGCCCCGGATTCGCGTGCGACCATCTCAGCAACGTCCGCGCGCACGCGGGCGACGTCCTCGCGAGAGGCATTCCCGGCATTGTACTCGTTGCGCGTCAAGGAGCGCCGCGCCTCGACGAGCGAGGTTAAGGATGGGTCGAAGAAAGTAATGAGCGTGGAGGGGTCGGGGTGCACGCGCACCTCGCCGGGGAAGTTGTTGTGCCATGTCCCGGCGCGTTTGACTTCCCACCGGTGAAGGGAAGTGTGCCTTTCCAGCCAGGAGGCGGGATTAGCGGAGGGCGGCCCGCCAAACTCAGGCCATCGGGTGCTTCTAGACTGTCATCTTGGTGTTCTGTGCTGCGTAGGCCGTGGAAAGTGGCTTCTGAACTGTCATGCCTAGAGGGGTCGTAGCTAAAGCCACGAGGCTCCATTTCGGGAGGAGCAATGTAGTCCGGTTTCCCGGAGGGTGAAGAAGTTTAGGAAACCGCCAGTGACCGCTGGCACGGCGGAGACGAGCTTCAGACCATCTGAAAAGTTACAATACATGATTTCGCTGAAAGCGAGTCAGAGAAAACCTTGCAGAAGGTAAGACCGCGCTCACAAGTTGAACTCCATCCTGATGAATCCATCAACCCCTACTGCTTGCCCCACGCGCATCCGTGCTGGATCCGCTCTAGCTCCGCCGTCCAGCCCCTAGGCTTGTGCTTGAGCTGGCCGAAGAAGAGCAAGTCCTGCGTATCGACGACGCCCTCGGCCATGTTTGCGCTGCAACCGTCAAAGTAAAGAAGCGTGAGTTCGCGCGTAGTCGTGAAGGTGAACAGGGTGCCATTCGGGCCTCCGGTGAAGAGGAGCGAGTGCTCAGGGTCGAAGGCGATCCAATCCCGGGCGGGGAAATCTGTCGTTGGCCGGCCGTGGTAGAGCAGCGTGCCCGGAGGGATGCTTGCACGGACGATGGCATGCCCTGTGTAGCGATTCAGTAATCTTTCGTGTTCAGCACAACTTATGACTAGTACTTTGCAACATACCTCGCGGGTGTTTTGAGTTTGCCTTCATCTGCATTAGACCAGCTAAGGACTGGAAGATGAGGCTGCCTGTCGCATCCCCGTTCGGCCGCTCGTCCCATGGTCGGGATAACCATGATTGGTTCACGCTAGCGGGTACTCTGAGAAACTGCTGCTGAGAGGCATCGACTATCACTGCGAGACTCAGGATGGTAAACCTCGTCGCCCAGCGCATCCTCGGGAGAACTTGAATTGAAGTAATAAAAACAGAGCGTACTAGAGCACGATACCTTCACGGATAAGTCGCAATGTACTGCGGGGCTGCTACAGTGCTAGCGAGGCAGGTTGGGCCGATAAGTGGGCGCCTTCATGGGCACTGACAGATTGCGGTCACCATTACAGCTGCTTCCATTGCCAAAACGAGAGGCCTCTCACCAAAATCGTGCACACGGGCGGAGAGCGGCGGATCTTGCCTTCGAGGTGACTTCTGCCGTTCGACCTCAGCCACCCGCCGTAGTATAGCTCGCCCTCGACGCTGCCAGTTATGCATATGGTCCAATCTTGGTGGGAATACTGGCAAGACCGACACATTCCGAGTCCGCCTGAGTCACAGTGGACTTGTTCATCGTAGAGCCTCCCATTTTGGGAACAGCTGTAAAGGTCCGAATGGAGATGCAGCAGCAAATTCAACTCCCCAAACCTGCGAGGGACCCAAAGGAGAGGATTTACCATATCAATACCATATGCAGCTCCAGGTTGAACGACCGGAGTCACTGGAAGCCGGAGTCATATCCCACATGCAAGCGTGGCCTGAGGACAACAACTGTTGGCTGCGGTACAAAACAATGCAAAAGCCAGAGAAAGTGCAGGTACACACAGGAGAAGGGGTCGCGACTCGCGAGCTTGCGAGACGCGTAACGCGAACACGATCATGTGATCGTTGTCACGATGCTGCATGCAGCGTTGCTATAGCGGGTCTTCAAGCTAGCTTTGCAGTTTTGCAATACCTGCGACGTCTCACTGTCTTTATACAACTCCGTACTCTGGCGTGTCGATTCAAGTCCACAGGCTCTGTTAATGAGTCGCTGAAGTCCGCTTACCAGCAACTTGCCACAGCGGCGCGACTACCAGCAGCTTGGTCACCTACCGTAATGCGCCTCGAAGAGACCACGGTGAGTACTTCAGCTCTCAATTCACTTTAGCTCATTCTCAGTTATTTCAATTGCAATGATACTCAGGTGCCGTAGATTGCTAGATTACGCGTTCCGAATACGATATGCCTCAGCCCCACCGGGTATGGGTCACTGTGTACCACGCGAGACGCCGACGGAATGACTTCTCGGTTCTCGATCGTGGATGTCCCAAAGTACCTACACTGTGGCTGTAAACTTGAAGGCCCGTCCTCATTCACAGAGGTATCGCTGCGCGCTTCGCCAATGCTGGTCGGACCTGGCCCAATAGATGCAAGAGAGCAGGGAGAGGGTGATAATTGTCTCGTGGATGTCGTGCCGAGAAAGGTTACAAGTACCCATACTAAAGGAGTAAGTATAGCGATTATGCAGCAATTAATGCAGATCAATTACATAACGACGCGGCACCTGACCCTCGCCTTGCACAACTTATTTGTGCGCTCCAGTCTGCTCCAGTGTCACTGGGGACAAACTGGGTTGTGGCAGCGCCTAACATTGGCCTAACATTGGAAGACCGTGTAGATTAGTAAGCGGCGGACTAAGGCCCCCTAACACTGGACGAAAAGTGGAAATGTCACGCTCTTTGTTCGAGGCCCTCACATTGCAGACTAAACACCGCATGTCAGGTGACACGACATTGGTCGTGTTTGTCGCCATGTTAGGAGGCCGCGCAGAGGTCGATCATTGAGCATGTTAGGACAATGCTCGCGCAATGCGCGACGCCCTTCCAGAAGCCATGTGCGGGCCCAGAACAAAGCGGATATAATTTATGATGTAAGGACAATGTACGTGGGCCGAGCATTATGTATTTGCGGCACCCTAGCAGGTGCTATGTTCGGCCCACTAAAAGGCGTGATGTAAGGCGGCCAAATACGGAAAGCCCAGAATGGATGTTCGGAAGCCTGACATACTGCATGGTTCGTCACTATGTTAGGCGGCCAGAAATTCTCTGTGTCGGTCAAACGCGTTTGCGATTCGCCAAACGATTCGCCCATATTCCATAAACGATTCGCCCGTACTCGCCAAATGATTCGCCCCCTACTCGCCAAATGATTCGCCCTACTCACAAAACAATTCGCTCCACCCACAAAGACAATTCGCCTCCACTCGTGTAAATCGAAGAAGCGACTTGCGTCCATTCACGACATCATTCGCATCCATTCGCATACTGATTCATGCAGATTTGCAACACAAATGGCGGGCGTGTTTGAGTGAAATCACATCAAGGTGGTGTTCGTGCATGTCGGCGCCACCCCCATATGGGAAGATGGCGTATCTTGACTGAACTGTGAGCGCAGTCGCGAGTCAGCGCTCATGAGATGCTGACTAGGGAGCTACGTACATGACCTACCTGCGCTGGAACGGAACACAGTTCGCGCGGAACCGTTCACCCCGCCGTCAGCTTGTCTAGCGAGCGGAGCCTGCCCGAACGACTCCCTGTGCGATACCCAGAATCCTTCCTGATTCTTCAAGATGTCTGCGAGCACTACACCGCCGAGGAACGCCATGCGTTTTCTGCGCAGTGAGTCTTAGATTTCTATGAGGGATTATCAGGACGTTCGACGTTCGGCATAGCCATCATACGCGGGACGTGTGGAGCATACCTTGAGCCGTCGCGCGACGGGTCACCGCCGAGCACTTGTATGAGGTAGAGTTGGTCCATGTCCTTCTCCAGCCAGCTTCACAGGCCATGGTACACGTAGGACACGATACGGCATCCTGGATGGCCTGGAAGAGCATCATTGATACGCCCGGTTGCTCAACGTCTACGAGGTGTGGCCGGAACATGCACTAGATCGCTGCGAATCGCTCTTGATCAGTCAGCCGTTCAGCAGCTGGACGCACTGTGAGCAGACGCACAAACTCTCGTATCGACGTGCACTTACTGCGTCCACGAGGACTGTTGCCTCCGATAGTCTTATGTCGAGGTACATATCGTAGCTGACGGTGAGTCCAATGGCTTCCGACTGGTTTTCTTCAGATTTCACGCACCTGACATAGCACAGCTTCTCCTGGATCTCTCGGACAGTCTTAAAGTCACCCGCTTGTTCGACCGTGTACCTCGCATGAGCCGAACCTTGATCAGATACCGCGTTACGTCCCGGCCAGCCATATTCAGCCAACGTGTGAGATGCAGTAGAGCGAAGCCATCGTGAAATCGTCACCGGTGTCGACGACCACACCAGTAGTGAGACCTGCGTTCAAGCATCAGTGGCTGCACGGCGGCGCAAGCTAGGCATCCGACGTACCTAGCACATACAGCAAGAACCCGGCCTGAAGCCCCCCTGAAACCGAAGGCTGTTCTGATCAACGCTCCGTCGCAGCTCCTGCATCGGGTTCGCGTCAACCCCATCCATGTCCATCCCGTCTCCGCTTCCTCCCGCCTCCCCGTCGGCACCCTCGCTCTGCAAGGAGCCAAAGATCGATCCACCAGACATGGTCGACCAGTCGAGCCCGTCGAGCAGCTCCGCGAACACGTAGGTAGACCTCCTCGAGTGCGTGCGCAGGGGCCCGGTCATGACGCCGACCTCGATGTTCGCGCCCGGCGGCGGGAACACGTTGAACTCCGTCATTTGGACAGGCGTAAGCTCGTACTCTCCTGGCTCCCCCCGTAGCATTGGCGTTTGCGCCGCTGAAGCCGTCGTCCAGGGCCTACGGTTGGACACAGTCCAGCCCTCAGAGGTCCGACAAAGGCATGCCGGACTGCATCATGTCCTGTAGCTCACACGTCGATCAGTGAAGGCCACGACGCGTCTGGTGGACGAGAAAAACACGTACCCCATCAGCTCCAAAAGGGTTGAGTTCATGAACCTATAGTCGGGGTCCATGTTCGACGGTCCAGTATCATTCGATACATCCATCGCAGTCTTCTCCCTTCAGCTCCGCAGACGAGGATCCTGAGTCTGCTGCAGATACTACGATGTTCGGAGCATCCGCGGGAGCGGATGTTGAGGCAGACGACGCGTCCACCATGGGTAGCTCGACAGTCTGCGAACTCGAGGCCCAGGGGGGCGAGATGCGCTCGGCCGTGAGCGACACAGGCGCAGGCTACACTTTGCTTGGTACGAGAGGCGGGGGCATGCGTGAATCGTACGCAGGTTGCTTTCCTTTCCCAGCCCGTGGCCGTTTCTCCGTCGGCGGCAACATGACGGACGTCCAGGGAAGGACATCTTCACGTCCTGCGCGTCGTCCTCCCCCGGGAAGTCGCCAGCGACAGACAAGGGACTGGGCGTCCAGGTCGGCGACGAGGCGGCCGAGAGTGGTGGAGAGCGCGGGGCGGTAGGGGTGGTTGAGATGCACAAAAGGCGGTTGCGGGAGCTGGGGAGGCGGCCCCGGGACGAAGAGATCCTGCTGAACGTACGGTACGTGACGCGACTTGGCCTTCTTCAGCTCCTCCTTCACTCTCGCCTTCTCAGCCTTCTCCTCTTCCTTGCGTTTCTCCTTGTCCTCCTTCTTCACCGGTTGGAACTTGTACCCAGGGAACACCTGCGGATGCTCTTGTCTCTTGGTATCGGCGATGTGTTCATACTCGTGCTTGACTCATGGATTCCCGGACTTCCAGGTGAGTGCGATGTCGCGCGAATCGTCAGCTTACAGACGCAAAGCAGAGCGAGCAGTGCAGCGCGACGACGTGATGGAGCAAGGTGAGGTCCACGTGAGATTAGACAGATTGAGGTTGAGAAGGAGGACAGGTATGGACGTGTAGTTGCACGCGAACAATGAACGTTTTGAGTTGATCTGCAAGCGTGTCCCCTTGAGCGTTCGCACAAATAATATCGAACAAAGTGCAACTCACAACACTAGCCCAAGCAAGCGACGGCGTATCGTTCGTTTTCATCCAGCCGTTTGTCTTTGTGAAAGAGTTCGTGATCCTCACGTCCGGGGTGAACCCTTTAACCTCCGGCTACGCACCGTTTTGTGAAATTGGCTACCCCGGACGCGAGGTATATCCAGTGCCTGACGGCGCAGACGTTGGCGGAGGTGTAGAGCCAGTCAGAACCGGGGCAGATGCGGCGGCCACGGCCATCTGAAGTTGAGCGGAAGATGCGCACGGGTCGCCACTTCGACTGTCGTTGTCCCCGTCAGCCAGCTGGTCCATATTCAAGGACTGCAGCTGCGTTCAAGCATCAGTGGTGGCAGCACGGCGACACAAGCTAGGCGTCCGACGTGCCTTACGCATACAGCAATCACGTGGCCTGAACAGCGATATGCACGCCCTGATGCCCATACTCCTCGAGGACGCGGAGCTTCTCATCGAAGACGTAGGCCCATTTACGCACCATACTGTGCTCCACGGGCTGCGTGACTTGCAGGTCATTCCGGTTTTCTGTTGCCTCGTCGTCGATCATCATATCTTGACGACCGCCGTGCGAACTCGCTCCTGCGCCCGCAGGATCGGGCGATCGACAATCGACGGGAATTCTACGCGCAATTGCTTTCAGCTGAGGTCTACCGCTCGTGAAAAGATGGACGCACTGTGTTTGGAACCCGCATCACCGATTTTTGACGAGATGCGACCGATGACGGCCTCCCTATGAAGAATCGCCGCACGATTGACGAGGATGAGTGTTCGCAAGGTTTCCTGGCGGTAGATGATCGGGTGGAAGGAACTGTCGTTCGTCGCCTGCGGCAAGGCGCCCTCAAACGCGACTTGTCGTAGAACATCGTCTTCATGCTGTGCTGATGAGGGCGATTGCTGACGCGGTGAATTAGGAAACGTAGACGACGGTGTAGAGACCTTTTCAATCAAATTTCAGTGATCTGGAGTGCTTGCATCGGTGGCACCCCCGACGGCGATACCGACGTTGGCACGGGAGGAGGGGCGTGAGCACTATCACTGGTCTCGGAGGAGAGGCCTTGCGCAACTGTCGGCGTCGAGGATCATCCCGTCGAACGGAACGTCTTCGCCAACAGCGTCCTTGAGCACTTTGGCCGGGGATGTGGTCGTTGAGACAGAGACAACGATCAGTTTCCTTCGCGGAGAGCGAGCTGGTCGCCGATAACCACCTTGACCTTGAAGTCGAGGGCGTGCCATGGGGTCGCCGAGTGCTTGCTTGGCGTCCGAACAGGGATGGTTGGTTCATCTAGGCGAGACTCTTGCGAATCGTAGTCGTGACCGGGCAAGCGACGCGGTGTAGAATGAAGAACATGTTGGGACCAGTTATCCGTGGAGAGCACCGCACCCTCGGTCTCGCCCCGTTTGCAAGCTAACCCCTACGCACATTCTCAGTTAGTTACCGTTGAGAGCGAACTTGTATAGGATTACACGTACAGATCGCAGCGATAATCACCAATCTTCCTGCTCTGGTGAAGAGGTCCACCCGTGAGCACAGCATGATCGAATCGAGACGTCGACGGCGGCAGTCGGCGGGGACGATGTATCAGAATCTGCGAGCAGGAGGATGATACTGACGACATACTCCCGATCCAGGGGTTGTTGCTCGCCATTCGACAGAAGGATAGCGATAAGCGCCGCACCTAGGAAAGCGTGTTCCATGTGAATGACAAGGGCCTAACACACATGACGCTGGAAAGTGAGATGGAGAGAATAGCAACGAACTAACAATTACGTTCCTCTGACACAGGCATGCTCCCGCCGAGCAACTCGGGGCGACGATCGGCACTCCTTGCCAGTCAGACCGTTTCGATCCAACCGGAGGGGCGTGAAGGACATGCCCGACGACGATGGCCTCGCGGTCGACCTTTTCTGAATCGCGAAAACCCTCCGCACCCGATGAAACGAGTGATCTTTCCGCCTAGGTACTATGTCGGTGTGTTAGCTCAATATGAACCTGAACAAATAGCTTGCCAGATCGGTGTACCACACGTAGCCGTTTCGTCCTCGCGTCCAATGCTTTTTCCGCCTCCGCACGTAACATACCCAGATTGAGTGACCATCTCGTTATGACCTGTAAACAACTCATACGGCGGCAGCGCGACCTGCCTCCACACCTCCATAAACACCCTCTCTTCCCCTTTCTCCCGTTCTCTCGCCGGCGCTGCCCCCTTGTCATCCGCCTCATCCTCTAACGACACACACTTCTTCTTGCCCGAATCCGCGTACCCGTTCGCGGATGCTCTAGGGGCGGAGCATAGCGACAGCGCGGAGGACGTACGGGAGACCGATGATCACCGCTCTCAAGGAACGCATTCAGGGCTTCATTCGTGACCGTGATCGCGAACATCGGGTCATGCAGGCACGCCGGCGCGACGTTGTTCGGCGCTTTCGTTCTGTATATCTCCCAGAAGCTCGGTGCCTTGCCCACCGCCCTGCTTGCACCCGCACCAGCACTCGCGGAGGCAGGCGTGACCTTGGCGATCGCGCGCGAGGGCAGAGCAGAGTAGAGTATGGACGTCAGGTTGAGGTGCGCCGCGAGATCCTTCTCGATGGTGCGCTGGATGAACGCCATCGTCTCCTCGTCGAAGGGCGCGTACATGAACGCGGAGATAGCGGGACCGAGGCAGTCGGCGATGCCTGCGAGCGTGAACGACTTGAGTGAGCGACGCGTCGTGGCTCGACTGATGCCCGTACTTCGTGAACGAGAGGACATACCAGTGGTAGATACTGAGGAAGCGCGGGACGAGGACGGGGACGACGATGATTGGCATGGAGGACTGCGAGGCGGGTCAGAGGAGCGCAGTTCAGGGAGGGGATAAACATACGATCAAGTGGGTTCCAGGCCCAGCATAGAGCATTGTACAGGCAGCCCAGCGAGCATCCGGAAGTCCTTCTTCTGCCACGAGATAGGCACGTACTTCGCGCGCCGTGGTTCTCAAAGCGAAACGAACCACGCGTCCGTCACCGCACGGAGTGTGCTTTGTGGTCTCCACCAAGACTCGACAAAGGCTCTTGACCATAGCAGGAGGACGGACGAGTAGACCGCTGAGTAGGCCTCGTGAAAGAAGTTATAGTACGCGCCGGAGACGGAGATGAACATGGAGGATCCCGTGTAGTATGAGAGGTGCCACGGAGTATCATGACCGACCATGACCGACTCGATGCGGTCTCAGCTGCTCGAGCCCGGCGCCGCGCCCAGGCCACCGTCCTTATGGTTGATGTTACATATGCGTGATTCAGAATGAGTCGTAGAGTCGACAGAAGGCAATAATACAGAGGTGAGATCAAGCACGGCGGCAAGATTCGCAGTATGGAGGCCGCAGGTCTGTTCCGGGGCTGTCAGTGCGTCCATCATACTAACACGATATCCACTCACCGGTCACGCTGTGTCAGCCGTGCTAATGTACTTTGTGGACATAGTATGAGAACTAGCAGCTGCCAGTCGTTTTCTCCCCGCTCCTGACAGCACGCAAGCCGCCCGTCTTGAGGACATGTAGGAGCTTTGTCTATTAGCGCTCTGCCTGCCTTGCATTCTCGCGCGCGGCGGCATCGCGTCTAGATGGCACTCTTGCTGGAGAGGAGCGAAAGGCGAAGATGAGGTCAACTCGGGGTGGTATGGCGACAGAGATTGGTGCTCAGCCCCGAGCAGAGAGAAGGGGTGTGCTGGTCGTCCAAGAGGATCAGAAAGAGTGTGTTAGGTCGGTATCCTTGACCAGCTCGGTAGAACCAGCCTCCTGTGCAGGTAGGGGACAGAATAAGAAAGAGCAGCCTGTGGTCGGGAGGGCGAACAAGTCAGGAAAACTGTATCCTCGCGCTCCACCACAGCAATCGGCAATTCCTTGGCTGACTGTGCGGTTCGATTACTTGAGACCTTCACGGCGATTACAGCTTCCGTCCGTCTCCCAATATGCTTCGACGGCTCCTTGAATCACCGCTACGGTGGTACCCCCTCCAGTCGTCGCGTTCTCCTTTGACCGTCTGACAAATCTCATTCGTTAACCATCCATCTACGAGTCATGTTGGCCGCTTACCTTCGCGCGGTAATGGCCACCCGCGTCCTATGGAGCCCACACTCACGACCTTTGTCCCTTCACCTTGAGATCGCCCATCACGACGGACTGAGGCACATAGAGCCTTATAGAGCTGTCCACTATATATGGTAGATCAGTTAGAGTGACGGAAGCATCTGTCGAATGTCTCACCAGTAGCAACGTACGAGGCCGATGTCGACGGGGATGATCTACTAGTATCGGCGCCGCGGGGGAGGCGCGAGCGCGACTCGCAATGCGCGAAATTAGCTGGATTACCCGAAATGGCAACTGCAGGCGATGTACAGTTCACGACTTTGCCTGCCAGTCCGGGCCCATACAGTGAGTAGGTGCGTCGACGAACAAGAAGGCCGCCATTCCCTAAGTTTGCGCTTTCAAACGTTCTGACATCCATAATCCCGCACGCCCGCACATCACCTCCGTCGTGGACCTCGCCCATACACTTTCGCCCGCCCACCCAACGCCCACGGCCCGTACGCTCATGCGCTCGCCGATCCAACGAGGTGTGAATATCTTCATGATAGCATTTTATGTTCGTTGCGATTTACAACGGCTCGCATGACTCCAATTTCGAGATGTGGTGTCATCATAATATTACCTCTGCCAGTGCTCGCAACTCATATGCACATTCAGTGATCGGATAGAGAACAGTTACAAGAGATGGACTTGAAGATCCGTACAGGCAAGGACATATATGCTACGACGATTTCAAAGGAAATAGCCCGCCACAACCCATAACAGGTAGCCAGTCGTGGAACACAGAAGGAGCACGACGCAGGCATTGCAGAACGTGCGCCAGAAGGGCTTGTTGCTCTGTGGGCGAGCATCCTTGTCGTTCTCGCTGAAGCAGCGCCCCGCGAGCGACCAAAAACTCGCGGCAGTGGGCATCTTCGCTTTGTGCAGCACGCCTGCGCATTATTAACCCAGCATATGGTCAACTCCGGCTGGAGAATTTCTCAGCTCTGTGTTCAAATAGATAGCGATGTTCGTACCTCGTTCAGTGAAACCTTCACGGTGTGCGAAAGAGCTATGACCAGCTGGTCGTACACAGTGTGGCGTGTCACCCCGAAAAAGACATCTGTGGCAGCTGTCATTTCACCAGATCGGGGGAGGCAGAAGGGAGCGTCAAACTCACAATGATTATCAGTGAGTGGGATGAAGAAGAGCAACCCGGGCGTCGCGGCACCGCTACGAAGGTGCAGAGCGGTTTCATGGGTGAGGATCTCTTCGTAATCGCTGACATAGTACACCTTTGCCCCACTGTCGGCCAAACTTCAGCGATTGATTCATGAGGGAATAGCCCAAGACTTACTTGGTTGCAGATGACGTTCGCGGGAGGCCTAAAACAGCACGAACATGCGATAGCACAGTGGCGAGGGGGAAGAACAAAGCCATGGTGGTCGTCTGTTCCAAGGTCGGTTAGCTACGGCTTCGCCTTATATACTGCATGTGGCGCTAACATGCATCTGTGCATGTGGCGCCCACATGCATTGTCCTTCGAGCAGCGGCTCAAGAGCCCAAGACAAAACCTACTTCTGCCGAGGGCACCGTTATGGCTCAGAGTAAGCAGAAGGGCGCACCATCAACTACTAACGGATGCCAGAACGCCGACCTACCATACCGCGTGCATGAGGACAGGCAGGCTTGAACATTGCTGGTGTCCCCAAGATGTCACTAGTGAGTCCACGAGCACAGAAGTACGCGAAGGAAGAGCACTTGAATGCGATAGTCACTAACAGCAGCGAGGGATGGCACGAAGGCTGCCATGCTCTCTTCGGCACCTTCAAGCCCTTGCCCTGGTGCCGCGTCGATCATATTCGGTCGATCGATGAACGCCTCCATGGCGTCTGAGTCATCGCCCGGATGGACAATGTTGACTTCGAGACCAGGACAGCCAGACGACGGGCTGGGACCGAAGCCAGGTGTAATCAGAGCCTAGTCATCGCTCTCCGATGAGTTGACAGTGCTGAGGGAGGTTGAACCACGGGGCATCGACGGTAAAAACGGATCGCCGCCATGCAAGCGGAACCCGCCGTAGTCCTCGTCACTGGAGTAGCGATCGATTCCAGAATCGCGTGGCCTGAACTCCTTCTGCAGCGGGGAAGCAGGCGCCTTGCGCTTCTGTCTCTTCGTGGGGCTGGGCATCGCAGAAGCGATGCTGAAGCTGAATGATGTATCGGGGGCCCGTTAAAGAAGGAAGGCGTGCTCACCCTCCGACGAGCCGTCTTTCTTGCGGGAGTTGGAAGACGAGACGGTGACGAGGCTACGCGCTCATGCCACATACACGCAGAAGGCATCCCAGTTGAGCCGCCGTAGCTGTGGGTTGCACGCCTGTGAACACTCCGTCGCTGGGGGGTTTCTTTCATAACGGCGATGTTCATACTGGGGCGGGGACTTGTGACAGCGCCTGTCTTCGACGATTTCTTTCCACGCCTGGGATCGGACTCAAGACCCGCTCGTAGAGCTGGTAGACGCGCGCCGAAGACGAGGAACAGTACCGGAGCTCGCGCTGTGTGGCCCGCTAACGGGTGGAACAGCTGGCGCCTGTGGGCTACATCATTAATCGCAGTGGCCTGAGCTGAAGAAAGCACATAACTAATTTTCAAAACCTACGACAACTGCGCCCTGCGCCGACTCTAGCAGTTCAACCGGGCGGGAATGCGCACGTCGCTTCGTGACGTGCCCGCCCGGTGAAACGGCCTCTGCGACCTCTTCATTGCTCATCTGCCCCGTCTTCGTGAACATTTCGAGCGCAGGCGACTTGACCTTGACCTTGCTTTTAGCACAATGGAGCGGCGTCCGGGACACAGAACCGCCCTCGAAAAGCGCCCGCTCATTGTCGTCTGCGCACGCACATCAGGAGTCAGAACCCGAGCCATACCCGCTCTCATGGTTTGAATGAAATCGCAGCATTGTCATCGACTCTGCTTGTCATTTGAGGTGCAAGTCCGTCTCAGTGTTTGACTGTGGCGTGCGGAGGTCGAAGCGGGCAGCAGGCAGAGGCGCCAAAAGCGTCGAGGATCCGCCTTCAGGCTGTTCTTTGGCTGACGCAACCTGTAACGGGGTGCTGGCTCTGGGGCGCATCGGCGTAGCATACTGATTGGGGTGGGCTTGCGCCTCGCGACCAGGAGAGACGGAGGACAGGGCGTTGACGTGCTTGGCCGAGCATCTGCTTGGTGTCCAAGCAGAGAGGGTCGAAGATGGGGAGGCGACCAATGAGATCGAATGCGTTGCCCTCAGCCTCAAAATCATGGCCCTCGACCTCCTTGTAGGAGAAGGCGAACGCACACAAACTACCGGCGGCAATCTCCTCATCGTCACCTGCACCTCGGCCTTCTTGCGCGGGCAAACCTCGACGATTGTGCCGTTCATGCCCTTGGTACCAAACTTAAGATAGCTGGTCGATTCCTCGCGGTAGGTGATCTCGGCCCGCGTGTCAACGGGGTTTGAGCGGCTTGAGATCGAGGAGCTTGGTAGCGCGCGAGAGGTGTCGCTGAGAGCGCCCACATCGCCAGGGTCGATGCCTCTCGAAACGGAAGGTACGGGTCTTCTGTGATGTCGCTGAGACCGCGACGGTGTTTACGGCGGGAACAGTTAGAAAGTGTCGGTGATGGCGAGACTCTTGCAAGTCGTAGTCGTGACCGGACGAGCGACGCGGTGTAGAATGAAGAGCACGTTGGGACCAGTTATCCGTGGAGAGCACCGCACCCTCGGTCTCGCCCCGTTTGCAAGCTAACCCCTACGCACACTCTCAGTTAGTTACCGTTGAGAGCGAACTTGTATAGGATTACACGTACAGCACGCAGCGACAATCACTAATCTTCCTGCTCTGGTGAAGAGGTTCGCCCGTGAGGGCAGCATGATCGAATCGAGACGTCGACGGCGGCAGTCGGCGGGGACGATGTATCAGAGTCTGCGAGCAGGAGGATGATACTGACGACATACTCCCGATCCAGGGGTTGTTGCTCGCCATTCGACAGAAGGATAGCGACAAGCGCTGCACCCTCTATGACTAGGAAAGCTTGTTCCACATGAATGACAAGGATCTAACGCCATATGAGACTTGCGGATGCAAAGGCAAGGGATACGATGAACCTACAGATACGTACGTTATGTTCAGACTTGCTCAAGGCGACGGCGGGCCTCCTAGTCAGACAGCTTGAAGGCGTCCTGGGCGACGATGGTCTCGAGGTCGACCTTTATCCTTGTCGTAGATTCTCTGCACGCGATTGTATGTGCAGTGGCGTGTATACGATTTCGCGTCCTTGACCGGTTCGGTCGATCTACTCCCTGGGCCACTGTGCGATTCGTCTACTCGAGACCTTCCCAGTGCGCCACAGTCATAAGCCACTTCGTTCCGCACGACCCGGCGGTCGTCCACTCACGCACTTTGTTCATCTCCTCGAGCCTGAGATCACCCAACTCGCCCCCTCAAGCCTGGCGGACGCGCGCCGGCACAGTTCGTCAATGTGTCCTCAGAGCTCACACTCACATCAGAATCGGAGAAGGACAAATTTGAACATCTCACCAGTAGTAGCCTTCGAGGTAAGACAATAATAACTCAAAGACGAACATTCAACAGAGCCGAGAGTCAACGAACATAAGCACTGGCGCCGGGCCCGGGGGCATGGCCTCGCAAGGGAATACTTACCCAATATGGCAAGAGTAGTCCCAGGCACGTACCTACATCGCAGACGGTTGGGAGTCGTCAAGCCTACTGCACAACCCCCGGTACGTGGGTTGTTGTGTAATATATGTTCGTAATCGATAGAAGAGATTATTTGAAGAGGAGGAGGTCTGCGCAGACATCGACATACATGCTACAAACTTGAATCGACGGCGGCGATCCAGAGCTAATAGCCAGTCATGAACACTTTGAACGCGAACACACAGCCTGTCACCCAACAGAGAAGAAGCACGATACAGGCATGCCAGAAGGCATGCCTTGAAGGCTCAACCGTGGAAGGCTCAACCGTGGAAGGCTCAACTGGGGTGCTGAAGCAGAGCCCTACGAGCGACTGAAACTCCTTGGTATTGCCGAACCTCACTTTGTGTAGCATGCCTGTTCTTTCGTCGGCCCAGCAAATGATCGAATAAGGCTGGATAGTATCTCTTTAGTTACGAATTCAGGTGGAGAGCCGCGTTCCTACCTCTATAGTCACAACCTTCGCGACGCGCGGAAGAGTTATGGCGTTCGGCTGATCGTGCGCTGCGCTGCCTGTTGACACGAGGAAAACATCTGCGGTAATTGTAAATTCACGAGAGTGGCGAAGGTAGAGATGGCTAGACTCACACTCATCACCAGGAAGAAGTTTGACGATCAGAAACCCCGGATAAGGACGCCGCCATCAGGACGAACAGTGGCTTCGTGAATGGGCATTACCCGGTAATCACTGATACAGTAAACCATTGCCCCACTTTTGAGCAAACTTTAGCTGCTGACCCATGAGTGAAGGGCCCAAAACTTACCTCATTGAAGTAGGCATTTGCGGGAGACCTGTTATGATGGTCGTCTGTTCCAAGATCAGTTAGCCACGGCTTCGCTTTATATGTAGCATGTGGCACCCACATGCATCCGTGCATGTGGCGTCCACATGGATGGTCCGTCTCAAGAGCCCAAGACAGAGCCGGCTTCCACCTAGGGCACCGGTGTGGCTTGGAGTGAGTAGAAAGGCGCAACATCGAAGCCCAATGCATGATGGAACGTCGACATGGCTGTCAATACGGCGTGTGTGCGAACACGGGCAGACAGGCTTGAATATCGCTGGCGTCCCCGAGACTGTTGCATCTTGCACAGTGCAAGCCAGAATACCGTGACCCTGACATGCGCAGCGAACAGACCGAGACGGAAGGAAGGGAGAGCCTAGCACGGTAGTTAGTACGTCTACATAGGGGCCTCAGCGACGCTGGATGGAACAAAATAATTACCATAGCCCGATATTCATCACCCGAGATCTACCTCTAACGTAGAGTGTAATACGTTCCTCCTGGATCGGAAAGCAAGCTACACGCCGTCTGACGTCTCGCGGTGTCAGAGGGTGTCAGTTCGGAAGCTTAGATCACAAAGGATAGTCATAACACTATAGCACCTTATGCATAACCATCACGCAGGCGCGATTCCGACCGCCAAGCTCCTGTAAACCTATTACTGAGTTGTGAGTAAGCTACGGGCGGCCTGCCCATGTCGGTGAATACGCACCGGTAGCCAGCCAACTCGCGGGGCAAACGTCAGTAGTGAGTGCAAGAGCAGAGCCGTAGTACGTGAGGGAGGAGCGCTTGAACGCATCCTCACTAACGACAGCGAGGGATGCCACGAGACCCATAATGCTCCCTTCCAACTCCCTTGGACACCTTCAAGTCCTTAGCCCCGTTTCGTCCTACTCCTTCTAGCATCTCCTCGTTCTCCGCGGCGCGTTGAGCGTTTACACATGTACAGCTACGTCGTACTCCCGCTGCACCGCGTCGATCGCCATTCACTGCCGCTTTACCGCAGTCTTGGGGGTCGTAGTCCGCGATAAGATTCGTGCAGCGCTTCGCTGTCGACCCGCTAAACCGTCGTTCAGAATGCAGCGGCGTTAGACCCGCAGTCTATCAGAATGATATCTCGGACATTCGAGGTTACAGCACGGTCTCGGATTGTGGCACTTCCTCAACCGAGCGAATCCCAAAATATTTGAACCAGAATTTCCCTGTGGACAGATCAGCGAGACTTTCGCCGTAACTAGTAGCCCCTCACGGGACTTACCGTATGCCCCATACAGTACTTGTCCCCCAGTAGGCTAGGCTACTAGTTAACAGATTGACTGTGGAACGCGTCCGTACTGTACGTT